TAGGTTTTATTCAAATAATAAGCTTCATTTAAGAATAAAAAAGTTATATAGGAATATCGATTTTTTTCTCTTTTAGGTTCTTGGAATGAATTTTATTCAAATGGTGAGTTACATTAAAGAATCAAAAACCTAATATTAATTTTTCCTTCCTTTTAGATTCCTCAAATGGATCTCAGCGAATGGCTAAGTTACATATCAGTATTCGAGAAATAAAGATGTGTCATTTTGATGTTTTTATGATAGACGACATGAGTTCGACATCTGTGTGACTGCCGATATTTTTCAGATCCTTCATTGCATTGCTAGGTTGGTGAGGTTTGAAACCTTTTTGTAGTTTCTGATATTGCTTTGTGAGAAAGTACTGTAACTATTTGTTTCAGTTTAGAAGACTTTGAACACCAATATTCGGAAACTCTGAAAGGTTTTCAGACAGTGCCAAAACCGGAAAGGCTCTAAAGTTTTCCCGGAACTACACTTTTTTAGGAAATATACAAATAAGGGTATAGTTGTAAGGGTATAGATATAAGGATATATTTTAAGGGTAAAGCTGTAAGCGTATAGATATGAGGTATAGATAAGTCTATGGATATAAGAATATCGAAATATGGATACAGAGATAAGGGAAATCCCAAAGGTAAACCATTTAAATCATGGAACACCTTATACGTAGGATAGAACCTTTTTTTAAGAAAAATCACATATGGTTTCGTTACTTCTTTACTGAACCTTTTTTCAGTCAGAACCTTTTTCGGGGGTTTTGCGTTTTACCCGATACCAGAACCCCTAAATTGGTTCTGTAAAACTCTTTTTTTCTTTCAGAGTAGTCTAACTGGTAACACATCTTCCCGGATAGCTGAAGGTATGGGTTCGATCCCCATGAAGGTCATATTTTTCTTCGGTCTGTCATATAACATCAGTGACACTGCTTGTCTCTTTCGCTCCTCTTATATCTCTTTCATTCCTTATATCTTCCTTTCATTCTATACATATTAGAGCTAACAGTAAACACATACGAAAATATGACCAATTAAACTGTGATCATCCTATTCGTATTCCATGGTTTTAATCCAATTTTAATGGGGTTTATGTCAAAAGTAATTGTTAATACATTAAGTATATCAAATTAAGGAAACTTAGTTAGATTAACAATGTATAGTAAAAATTTTATGTGATAGAATCGGCGATAAGATCCAGTTAAATTCATTAATTTATTGATTTCAGTCTAAATATGCTGCTTAGTCGGCGTTCTGTGATGCTTTTTGAAAAGTTAGTTTCAATCCAACTCTAAACAGTGATTCTGCAGATTCCTACTTTCAATAAGAAATAGTTACTTATCGTTGAAATTCACAACGTTTATTCAATTAGAAAGAGGAAGTATCGAATAATTCTTAATCGCCGGATCCGGTTGGTTGGACGGTGCAATCCGGACTTCATACCCGGATTGAAAACGGCCAGATCCTGGCCACGTATCTAGATCGGAAATTATTTGTATTTCTTCGTTTCCGATCGTCAAAAGGAAACGATCGGAAAAGTAGTCCGGAATCCTGTTGTAAACGGAGGCCGTATCCGCTTATGGCTTCCAGAGCCAGGAATTAGCGGGAAATACTCTGGAAACGGAGACCGGAAAACTTTTTGGAATACTGCTTCCGGAATTCGATGGAAAATCACCGTATCAGACACTTTCCCGGCGTACGTATTGGACCTGGGCTTCGTCCTTGATGAAAATCTTTTTTTTTCTCTCTTTTTTCTTGTCTTTCATATACATATGAAGGCGTGTGTATAAAGGACTACACCAATTAACGTTATTCCATCTCTAACAACAATACTAGACCATTTCTTTCTCGTCTTCTATACATATAATATAAAGATTTATGTTCCTTTTAAGTTAGACCATCTCTGACAACAGCAATATATCATACTCCGTTCTTGGTATATTCCCCTGACCAAAATAATCAGCGCACATATTTGTTTTGGTTATTTCTCTCTACCATGATCGTTTGATCTTATAATTATAATATAGATATGTATTTGGTTAACTAACTTTGAAAGCTTTAGCCCTATAAAATGAAAATTAGTCGAGAAAAGCAAAAATATATCTTGGATACTCATGTACCATTGAAGGAAAATTTTGATATTTTCTTGTTCAAATTTTTTCTTTTTCTAATAACACAAATTTTTGGTGAATGAATACGCTGTTATATATTTCCTAAGTATTTTGAGAAGGAATTTACACAACAATCTAGTAAGAGTGCAAATGAAATCGAGAAATCTATTTACTCGTCAAGATCTGATGCTGTTAGAAAAAGAGAAAACAGGCAATTTTGATTTCATTGGTACATACGTATATAAGACACACTTGTAGTTTTCGCAACGAATTTTCATTTTACAGGGCTGAAAATTCCAAAGTAAGTCAAATAATCAAAGATGTGGGGTTATGTCATGATCTCATTACACCCAGTATCCGTATTTTCTTATAACTTAGTCACACGACATCCAACCAAAGGATATCCACTTTGCTATCACTTCATTACTTCAAAAATGAACTAAACATTTTCAAAAGTGAAGGAATTAGGGATGTTTCAGTGCATTAACCCAGCGGTAATGACTTTTTCCATTGTGTGGCCATAACTGTATATCATGGGCAAATCTCGGGACGGCGTCGCTTTGCGCTTTGCTCAGTCAACTGTGTTCATAAACAAATGTTCACATGATATAAATGAAAAAATAGATAAATATATTTATATGTAACATATGTACTTGTTGCATTACGTACTTGACTGGTTTAAATAAATGAATAGAATCATATATATGGATAAAATGGAAAATTGTTGCACTTCTTATTTATATGATTTAAAAACTTTAAAAATAAATATATATTCATATTAAATTTAAATTTCATTTTTCATTTCTTGTATAAAATGGCCTAAATAAGGACACAAGCACATATCTATGGGACGAAACAACTGAGATTGTTAAACTTAAACAATGGATAATTCATTTTTTGGTGTAATGAACTCTAAACGAAATGAACTCAAATTTCTCAGCCTTGAAGATACATAGTTTATTTATGGGGTAATGAACTCATTACTCCTTGGCGTAAGAGGTGTGATGTGAAATTGAATTTACTTTACTTGATTATTAGCTGTAGGATATCTTGACGTTTAGCTCTCGATACCCAATGTAACGGTATTATGACAGCTATGCTGTAAATAGTCTATTGTCAATTTTTCTTCCCTTCTCTTAAACAGCTGAATTGTCGTCCGCCTGGCATGATAAATGAAAAAACAAGCACGTTATCACTACAATTTTCTACCATTATTTGTTGTTTGTATAGTTTTAACAATGTGGATGAAGAGCACAGCTGTTGCACACTCAAGAATATACTGTGTATAAGTCAAATTGCAGTGAAACAATTTTCTCAATGTTTTTTCTATTTTACTTGACTAGAGTTAGTCAATCGCTTGTAAAAAAAAGAATTAAGGTTCAATCTGCCCTAGTTTCTGAGATATTGCAGCAATACTTTCAGAAACTAAATTTAGAGCCACTTCTCGATAAAATTTTCATACTATGCACTTGATTTTAGTCCTTCATTAGGTTTTATAACATGAAAAATTGTTATTAATACGCGGCAAGATATTTTTCATTTTATTGCAGTATGAAATTAAATGTTTGAAATTGAGTAGATAAGAGAGAGAATAAAAAATGTAATAATTTAGTGAAAAAAAGACATTTGTTGCGTTTATTCGGCAGGTCAAAATAACTTAATAACAACGAGAACGCATTTATTTTGCGTTCGGCGTTTACATAGGTACCAATGATGGCAATACAACGGGTGTCCCTATGTAGCAGACATATACATGAGAAAATTGTTGTTTTTGCTGTTGCTCGCCTTTTGCTTATATCTATCAGTAATCGACTATTTCTTCCTCTTCTTGACGCAATGATATTGATAGACGGAAACGTTTTTATGTTAGTATATTCATTGGATCGAAAAGCGTACATTGAAGTAAACGCACACGTTATTTTAGATGTAATGCTGTTTTCATGGATAAAGAGTGAGTTTTCAAGAATCTTTTCAGTCCTTAGAAAAAACTTTTTTAAAATAGATTTTGTCAACAAAAACTGCAGTAGTTTCGTATTCTCTCCGTAGTGTGCTATCTTGTTTTTGTCTTGCCTTCTTACTCTCATGGCGTGCGCGCATGTATACATATATACAGGAAGAAATAGACGAAATGGGAGAAAACAGAGAGAATAACAGAGTGCTGCATTTTTTTCTGGGACCTTGAGCATGTGTTTCTGTGAGAACTATACGTATTGCTAAGGATATAACTTTTATTAACTCTGCAAGATATCGAAAAATATTGAACCAATTGATATGTGGCTGCATTTTTTCTGAGCTTCTGTTAGATACTTTTACTTTTCTACTTAAATACAAGAACTTGACTGCCGCTACATTCATTCTCCTCGTATTTTGAAGGAAACAACGAGAAATAAAATTGTGTTAGCAAATGTACAGTGATTCATCTATGTGATGTACATGAAGAAATTTTTTTCTTTTCTTTTATAGTGAAAATATAGGTGGATACCATCCGTTGCGATAACATACGTGTAATAGTACATCAACGAGAGATAGGTGTATTTTTGTCACCTGTGTGAATATCATCGTCGATATTATGACCTCCAGTTCTTCATCAACCAACCCAGTTTCTCATGCTGCTACTTCTTTCCCGTCAAACCCATTAACGAGGAACTCTCCGAATCAATCTCGTACTGATACTGTCTGCCCTCATTGCAATCATCCCATCAAAGAAATAAAATATTCTGGTGATGCTTTCCATGCTTCTTTACAAAAATTATTTCCTGGTGCCATTAGACTGGAAGAGTTTATCTTTGAAACAAAACAAACCTTGGTTCCTAAAGGTTTCTATCCGCATGTGAATACTTTGGTTTGTGTTGGTTTGTGTCGCGATGAAATCACAAGTCCTTTCGAAGAGGAAGTCGAAGCTATGTGGGGTCAAGCATTTATTTGTGGTTCCCTCGGCGGCATGTTGTTTTGTGGCAAGACTGGTTTCTCTGCTGCACATCGTCATGCACCTATAACCGGTCATTTCATTTATTATTGTTTTACTCATATTGCCATCGATCATGAAGGAATTGTTGGCTCCGTTTACAGAACACGCAGTGGCATGGAAGAAAAAACAACGGCGTGTGGAGCTCTCGCTGCATTTGCTGCTGAAATTGCTTCGAATAAATTGAATTTTAACTTCGATGAAGATGATATTGAAATGAGTATGTTAAAGAAACATATAATTAATAAAACTAGTCTTTCAACCGATGCTATGAATGCCCCAGATTTATTCAAGGTGACTATGGCTGCTTATGAAACGATTACATTTGATTTGGAAAGACATGTTCGACGCGATGCAGGAAACTTCAAAGATCGTCGTTATGCCTTGTTCACTGGTATTCAAATACATGGACCAGGTGGGTCCGATTACTGCTGGCTAGGAAAAGCTAGTTTATTAGTTAATGGAGTATTATCGCCATTGGTTCTTTCAACGCATGTTAGTCTGCTGCCATCAATTGGATCAACAATCATGCCACAGTGATGGAGTGAAGATCTTTTTTATTGAGCTATATTTTCCACTATTCCTATGAACTGTACCTGTAGTGCTCAAAGATTTATTTTATAATAAAAGGACTTCTTCGGAACTATTGATTTCGTGAACCAATTGTTTTAACTACGTTAGTCAGATAAAATAAGAGAACGGCAAAAAATAAAGATAATGCCTATTTGAGACAAAATAGAAATAGCTTATATGTGTTTTCTTCCAAAACCACATAAAATAGGTAGATATAATTAGAAATTTTCGTTATGGTTTCATATGTTAATGATAATATTATTAAATTTAGAAAAGAACACCACTTCGACTATAATTATAAAGACAACAGATGCGTCAACAAAAGAAATGTCTACGTTTCTATATCAATTAATTCGACCTTTAATTGATAGATTTGTTAGTGAAACTACCATCATCGATGGTAATAATCTTCTTGCTAACTCTATTCATTACTGTTATGGACCTGCCCTCACATATTATCATGTCATTCCTTTTCTTCTTCCATCTAGTCACCCGCCATATCTATCGTCATATATATAAATGTGTATGTTGTCTTCTCAACGGAGGAGAGAGATTATATGTGTGTGTATACAACATGTTGTTGTTTATTTTGTTGGGGGTTATCGATTTAAGTAATAAACGAACGGGGGACCATCTAACGCCTAATAATTACTTGTGATGCTACGAATCTGTATATCATGTTATCACAAGAAGAATCGCTTGCTATTCTTGCTGAATTTTTTCTTCATTTACATCATTGTGATAAACTCGATAGTATTTTCATTGATACGATTGTAGAATTAGGTCCAAATGTACTCTAAGCAAATACTTTTGGGTATGATAAAAAATTCTATCAGAAAATTACTGGGTGGTGCGATATGGAATCCCCATTTACATTAATATTAGCAAATATTTTCATTTTGAATCAAATATTTTAAATTAACTATTTCTGTTCTTTTTTTCCTTTTTTCATTGACAGATATGGGTGAATTGCGCTGCGCTGTTATTGTACGGTTTGATGAAAAAAATAAAAGTGAAGAGAGGAAAATTTTGACCCGTGCATACAATATGTTAGTTTAAGCAAAAATCGAGATTTCTTGACAAAATAAAATTTCTAAGTGAAAATTTTTTACATTATTATTATATAGCAGGCGCATATAATTTTCAAAAGAAGAATTCAACAAACATGCACATAATTTTATTCGCATATATGCCTGAATATTACTTTCCGAACGGATGTTGCCATATGACAACATTTTCCCAATTGAGAAGTACAGCATTTTTCAAAATTATTTCGCAATAACAATGCGAATCAGAATCACCATCAATATCGATATTTATTACGCAAAAAGAAACAATGTTTACTTTAACGAGATACGTAAAGTAACCATTGTTACAGTGTTTCATATGTGAAATGATCATTCAGATAAAAAATGTTTAGATTTGTAGATGGTCAGAACTGGCTTTTGTGAAAAATTTAAGTTTCCTGTAAGATATATAGACTTTTTGCATGGTAGTAAATGAGAAAGAAGACCAACCTGCCGGTCGTTTAAGGAATTAAGAATCCTTAGTAAATATTTATAAACGTCTTCCATTCGTGACAACTCAAAACAGGCGAAATAAATTTTTGTTTTCTCTAAATATCTATCACATAGCAAGGTAATAAAGATAAAAAAAAAAGTCATCGACTTATCCCTTATTGTTAGCAAGAGATCCTCAAAGAATCAAAACACAAAATCTGCCATGACGTTTAGTGGGACGACAGCTAGCTGCCCGTTTTATTTTTAATTTTGTGCTTGATCGTAAAGATTATTGGAAACTACTATTTTGTCAAAATATTTCTCACCCTTTAGTCTATCATACATAAAAAAAAAGAAATCTCAGATAGCTTGTAAATAGTCCTTAGTAACTTCGATTTAATCTGTCGTGACATCAAAAGATCAAAGTGTATGTTTATAGATTTTTGCAAGACTTTATCAAGAAATTGAAATTAAAGTTATGACGAATTTATATTATCAGAAAGAGAGGAGTCTTACCTACCAGCTGTCGTAAAAAAAATCTTTTTATCCAGTCAGAATTATACGATATAAAAAGGAATTTCCGTCGATAGGTGTTGCCCAACAGCATTCGTTTTGATGTTTCAGGTTTGAAAACTTCTTAACCATGAAATCAAAATAGTTGATAATTTTATGGTGAATAAGACAAAATAAATGGAGGATTTTGTTACCCATCGTTTCGTGAGTGTGAGGCAAAATTTTCCCAACTACGAGATATCATGAGGGCCAGATATTCTAGCATCAACTTTAACCTTTTCCACCTGCAACGTTATCGAAAGAAAATGTCGAAAAATCAGCTTAAAAGTGGGCGCGAATGTGTATTAAGAGGTGATAAATACACCCACACGCAAAATATTTTGCAACAAAAAGGGGAAGAAAAATAATATTCAGTTTTGTTACGCGGTGATGTTATAAATACTGCATTTTTCTTCGAAGTCTCTACATAAAAGTATAAAAGCATAGAAAATCAATTATTTTCCCAAAAGATGCTTCTACTGTCATACAATTAATTAGCTATTATCATTCTCATATATATTAAGGAGTATAGACAAAACGCTTAGGTAATTACATAGTTCAAATTGGGTAATTTTCATCGCTGAGTAGTGGCATCTTTGTTTTCGATCTCTAAATGCGGTTTGAAGCATTTCTGACTGAAGAAAATGTTTTCATACACTTTCAATTACGCTCTACAAAATGGCAACCACACCTTCTAAGAGTGATGATTTTGAACCTCCGGCAATCAAGGTGACGCGTTACGATTTGTTGCCCTATGACACACACTAGCAACCCTCTATATGGCATGATTACACATATTAGATAAATAAAAAATTGTTTTCAAAGATGATTTACTATGTTTGTGTATATTTATAGAAATAAAGATATTAATGGAGGGTGTGTGGGTGAGATTTGGGATTCGATCTTCTCATCACATCCACGCCTGATCAGATGATGGAAGAAGGGGGCTTACTCTGCCTAATTTTTTTCTTGCATTGTGCCTTTCTCTCAGGAAATTTCAACTAGCTGCTATTCAGCGGGTTTTTCGGTATTTTCAATAAGAGGAAATGCACCAAAATCATGCAAAAGAGAAAGTTTTCTGATGGTGACATGTGTTAGTTCAAGTTTTGTAAAGATATCAAGAAAGAAAGCACAACATCAAACAAGCAGAATATAGAAAAATACATGAAAGCAAGAAGGAAAAAGCATGACTATGCTCAAATGAAAAAAAATGTCAGGTACTGAAGTAGTAATCAATGCTGCGCATGCATGGCTTGCTTCTTTCATTTTATAGCGTTATGTTCAAGGCAAATGTTTTTTACTCTTCAAAATAAAGCATAATCATAATATATATATACTCGTTCAATGAAATTTCATTTTTTCTTTTGAGAAAATACATTGCTCGAGCAAATGAATATTAATGAAAACTTCAAACGCATTGCTAAATTTTCTCAACATTATTTTGCGTCGGATTTTAAGCAACACATTTTCATTCCAATCCCACAGAAACAAGGACAGAGAAAATAATGTATGGAAGTAGTTATGTATGTAAGACAAAAGAGTAAAAATGAAGGAAACCCAAGGGGGAAACAGCAGACTCCATGACTCCATCTGACTCCGCTTGACTTCACTTGACTCCACCTGACTCCGAGGAGTTGGAGTCTGCTGTTTTTCCCTTGAGGAAAACTATCATTTACTGATTCAAATTCTTGTTTGGATTTTTAACAGCAAAGGATAAAGAAGAATAACAAAAAACGAATAAGAGAAACTATAGTCAATGAAAAGCGTTACAAAACATCATTCATAAGAATTTCATCGATTTTTGGATTCAATGATATCTTACTTGTTGAAGTAAAACTTCTAGATATTTGAATTCATCAAATATGTAATAGCTCCAGTCTGTGATTATTCAAGAAACAAATATAATACACTGCTGGTTTTTAATTTCTGCGCATTATCAAAGAAAGAAATGTTTTCAGACGGCAATATATTATCTGAACATATTATTCCAGAATATTAAAGAAAAAAAACCCATCGATCAAAATAATTAATGAATATTTTGCGCAAGTGTGTATGATATTAAGACTAATTTAGATCATGATTATAAAGCTCTCCATTTCAAAGTAAAATTTAACATTTAATCATCATGTTGTTAAAACTGTTTTTCATATTTCTTGTATTCTTTTCAAGCAACTCTTCATTGAATGGTCAATACAATATGTATGATGATGACTGTTTTGACTATTACGCAAATCAAGATATAACGGAGTATACTCTAACGATAGAACAGTCTTATCGAATGGAGCATCAAATCATTTCTTTCTGTCGACGTCATCATTTTCAAGAAAAACCATTGGAAATTGATCCACATATATCCGCATTGACATTCTATGATTTGCACCAGAAAAACGTTACTAGTGCTCAATTATATTCATGGTCAGCTCATATAGATCTCATCGAAGAATATGAAGCATTTCGTCAAAATTTTTCTGATCACCGCATTACCGGATCATCGATGATGTTTTACAACTGCTCATCGAAAAATAAATTTGGTCGATTCTGGCAATCCTCCTTCGATTCCAAGGTATGTCTCATAAAGTTGAAAAAATCTGTTCTCATTAAACATCCATTCATAGGAGGAGAAAACGAATCATATTTTACAGAGAAGAGTGCCGATACTCATAAATCATAATGTAATTCAGATTCAAATAAATTCTATTAGTAATTCTAAAAAATGATCCATTATTGAGAGACGTTTCACAATAAAAACCAAAGACAGCGATACCATGGGAGCCGACAGATTTTGGATTTGATTCTTTTGGAAGTTCAGGTCTTATGTGTCATATATGAATCAAAAATATTACGGTCTACAGATTTACCTCTGATCTACTAGAGCTAACTGACTCGGAAACACCCTAATAAATAGCACCAAAACGTGTGAAAAATTGATCTATAAATATTTGTGAATTTTCCATCGTTCAGATCGAATAATATACCAATCGATAGAGCTTGCTTGCTCAACAACATTGTATACATGGTGTTTCTCTATAGTCTCAATTTAGACCCGAGAAAGTTCACATATAGTATTCTTTTAACAGAATAAATTTGGTCCACTTTCCAATATTTTAACGTGTTAACGCGTAGACGACGAGTATTAACCTATGGCGCGAAAGTCTTCGTACAAACCTATTTTTATTTTATATTTCTTAACAAGAACTTAACTGTTAAGTCAATCATATCAACTTCTTTGAGTTGCTGCTGTATTCTTCATTTCAATTGATCGATCGTTTTGGTTTCACAACCACTACCATAGATCTCGTCTTCTAAAATTTGCCAAATTCTTTCAATAGGGCGTGCCTCAGAACAATTCTGCGGATTTTTTGCTCTTCAAAAAAATCGGTTACACTTACAACATAATGACTTGATGCCAAATCGGGCCAGAGTAACACATTTCCGACCTTGTGATAGCTGTTCACCAACGGCATCAAAAATGTTCTTTCATTAATTGCTTGTGTTTGTTTTGGAAAGAACGGTTTCGAAATACCTTTTTCAGATATGGCAATCCATACCAAAAATTTAGCAGGATACTTTTGAGTGCGTTTGAATCTCACATCTGACGGTGTGGTACTTGGATCCGATATGTAGAATCCGCAATTAGTTGACAGCGGCTCATTAGGTAAAGTGAAATATTTTTCATCGTCCATGATGAGCTCAACGTTATCGTTCAATAAAGCGTGATATAAGCGTCGAGTACGCGTTGGTACTTTTTCCATTTGGTTTGCTATGTATCGAGGAGCACGTTTCTTTTTTTCGATAATGTGTATCAATACCATTCAACTCATGTTAAATTGTCCTTCGATGAACTTTGAATTTTCGCGCTGTTTCTCTTGATGAAATACCAGCCTGGTGGTTCACTAATCTTTTGAGACATGTTCATTGGCCACTCAATATTTTTCTTGACACTGTTTTCCTCCAGAAGCCGGCCCGTACTTTTCGACCTGGGTAGGACACTCGTACTCGTACTAACCACCCAACAGTAGCCTAATTAGTCTAGTCTCTAATTAGTAGAATGGTGAGCTCATTAATTTCCGCAATGTGGAAAGGATCCCTTAAAAATCTGGCCATTTAACTTACACTCTTTATTTTCTTCGAGCATATATGCGAGTTTCACAAAATTATGGATAAATAATGAGTCATTTTTGTATTATTTATCTATTATCAGTTATATGGATAATAAACGATATCCCGATTCACGTATGAGAGATATCTGAAATTTCATTGCTAGTATATGTAAATAAGGCGGATTAGTTACTGATGATTGGTTAGAATCCCTGAATCGACAACGATTAACAGAAAAATAATCGTCACTGTCGCACCCTCACTCTAATAGACACTAACTAGCAAGAAAAGACATAATCTCAATAATTTTATAGAACTCATTCAATCGTATTGCCAAAGAAGTGTTAATAAAAACTCATTCGGTTTCATCAAGCACTACTTGTTTTCTGCATTTGAATTGTACGCATGATGAACTATCATGGTGTTTGGATTGGCGCGAAATACGTGATGGAAAAGTTGACTGTTGGCCTATTCCTGTTGATGAACAAAATTGTGAACAGCTGGAAGAAAATGAATGTGGGCCAAACGAATATAGATGCTTTAATGGTCAATGTATTCCAGAAATATTCCTAGCAGATAATGTCTTTACTCCTGATTGTATAGACAGAACAGATGAAGACTTTTTTCAAACCACACAGTATCCACAAAACTGCAAAAAGGGTGATCCAGCATTTCGATGTACGGAAATCACGTATTCTCATTGGGTAACCAGCGGTCAATATTGTTGTGAGTTCTCATGTGGTTTCGATTCTTGCCGCGCATATGTTCTTGAAGCATTTGAGCGAGGTCTCTTATCATACAGTGCTAATACTCATCTTACACAAAAATGTTGGGCTACTATGATCTGTCTTGTTCAAGTAACACAACGAATTTCTTTTGTGAGTATGTTAAAAATTTGGTGTCACGATCAATTCATTCAAAACATAAGTTTTCTTAGCTCCTAAACTTAAAATAAGATTTCATTTGATGCATTCTTATATCAAGTGATGTTAATTTTTGTATTCGTATTTATAGAATGATGACAGTTATACACATTTATTCAATGGCATTTGTGAAAATGTTTGCTCAGAGCAACACCAACCATGTCGTGCGAAAATGATTGAACATTGTCCCCCGTTATTTGAATTCCCTGCAAAGGCTCTTGGATGGCATCAACTACATTTTGTTTATTCTTGGAATCGAACAAATGGAAGTACAATGCCTCATTCACCAGATTATATCTGTTATAATGAAGAAGATTGTTCGATTTCTCAACCTGTTACTAAATTTAGAGCATTAAGTAAACCTTCTGTCATTCTTGCTTGCGAACTTCCTGATGTCCAGAAATCTAGAATAAATTGGGTTTTAGAAGCAGCTTTTTTTCGAAGACAACTGAATATGCAATGTTCCCTAAAAACCAACAGAAAAGACAATTACTGTTCTGGAGCCAATCAATTTCAATGTAGTAAAAAATGTATTTCGACACATCGTCTAATGAATCGTCAGGTTGATTGTCTTAATAGAATCGATGGGAGCTTTAGTGAAAGTTGTAATCTAGGCCATAAACATTGCTTAACATGCTCATTGAACATTTCTGGAATGCTTATAACAAATTGCATACCAATAATAAATGCACCAGTGGGACCATACGTATGTGTGGATCAAAAGCACGGCTTCCTCATTTTCCTACGTTATGTGATGGCTACAACGACTATAGTGAAACGATTGATGGCATATTTGAAACAGATGAAACAAATTGTGAGCGATGGCCATGTGATAATCAATATACACGACGTGATGGGTTATGGAATTGTCCCGATGGAGCAGATGAAGCACAATTTTTTCATCCAGTTTGCCATCAATCCATTGGACATCCATGCTTATTACACAATACAACCGAGTTGATTTGTCTACCACTTGCTAACAGTAATGATGGAATTATTGACTGTTATGGAGGAACTGATGAACAAAGTTTCTGTTACAAAGAACTAAATGGACAAACCAGTTTTCTTTGTTTACCAAACAGTACCAATAGTCAACTGCAAGCTAATCAGTAAGTTACTTTTATGAAGACATTAAAATATTTGACTCCCCGCAGCTTGTTTCGTTACTCAATTCTGAACTAAGGAAGAACGCTTTAGAGAAAAGATCTAATTAATAACAAAACGTATTAATTGTTATATATATATATATATATATATGTATATTGGAATCGCCACTGGCATGTCTTGGTGGGCAAAATCAACCAGCGATATAATATTCACAATTATTAGATCCATAACGCATTGCTGTGTATAGAAGTTTATTTATTGAGTTAAATTAAACATAATTACTTCGTCTTTTTTCAAGATTAACCTTCTCCGTCACGACTCTCGCATAGCACATGTTCTTAGTTTATCCATCTTAACGAAACTACTGTCCATTCCAAAAAAAAGAAGCTATTTAAGTATTTTTTGAATAAATTTTGATAGAAGTAAGATAGACAGATGCAGTTTTTGCCATTTGAACGAGAAGACTCGGGACCATCAATTCACGCTAAAATATGATTGGTCAATAGATCATGCGACAGGTGTCTTCTCGATAGACCTGTTAAGTACCCTTGTCTGAAGCTATTTCTTAATGTTATCGTATTTGTTATTGTATTTGTTAATTTATCTGATAGTAGAAAAAATTAGTCTCTTTTGATGTACGCCAGGCCGTCCTTTCTAGCTTGTTCCATTTAAGAGTTACAAGGATTTTGCTCAGATCTCTGATTTCAGTCGATTTACCTTGACTGTGTAGCACAAAAGTCTCTGAGATGGATAACTCATCACGGTGGGTCGAATAATGACATTTGTCTTTGAATTTGCAACAGGGTTGTCAGATGTGAAACTCAAAAATTCCAGAATTTTCAACATTTTTCTTATCCAAATTATGTTAGTTCTATCATCCCTGAAGGTTTCAACTTTCTCGTATAAGCCATGCACGATATATTCTAAAAACCTGGGGTACCAAACGTGAAGTTCGTAAAATTCATTTTTTTCAACAAAATTGATTAATTTCACAACAGTTTGTGGTTGTCCACCGTTTATATTGATGCCAGATTGTGCATCATAGTGTAGTTTTTAACATTGGATAAATGAGTAAAAAGTTGGGGTTTGTTCTGGGAGAAAATCAATGTAAAAAGTCGACAGTTTCACGAGAAATTCATTAAAGTTTCAGTTACCCTGTACGAATAATTTGCCCTAGAGACCTAAAATTTATATAATGGTAAGATAGAGTTGCGATGTGCTTATATATCAAAATTTCAGGTTTCTATCATTTTCCAATCTACAGATATCGATTGCGAAAGTTTGCCAAAAAATTGACTTTTCCATACAATACTGAAATTCATCGAATAGGAACGATTCATCCGTTTGAGATGAAATTTATGGTGCTCATAAAACTTATTTATATGTTAATGTAAAAGGCATTTCAGTTCGAAAGCTTGATCTTTTATTGGTTTTTTGAAGCATTCAAAATTCACCCTCGTGAAAGTGCGGTTTACAGTGATTTCACAGTGCGTTCAGTAAAACTGCGATAAAAACCGAACGGTTCAATATTTTGAGAATCGGCTTTCGGCAAAATTTATCAAGCACACACCTCTATTACACATGTTAAAATGAGATAATTCCAACGATATTGATTGAGCACCTTCGACCATGGCTTGTGTAGAATGGCTTATAAAAAATCATTTTTCTCCTAAAGAGTCTTTCTTTGTTCTAAAAAATGTAAAACTCACAATTTCTTAAATTTGATCCGGGATTTGCATTCCTCGATCTGAATTACCTATAGCAAAGGTCCATCAGAACACTGAGAAACCTTAAAATAAGCTCAGATCTCATAGATGATTTTTGACCTGCCACAAACAAACATACAGACACACAGAAAAATGCATTTCTTTCATATGATCCTCGCTTCAGTTGAGGGAATAATAGCTTTATTCATCAATTAATGCTGCATTTGATAATCTTGAATTACTTCGTATAAAAAATAGAGAAGACTAAAATTAAAGCAGATTTATCGACTTTTCTCTAGTGAAAAATAAAGTTCGGTTACTATATATAAGTCAACACATATTTCTCTTGCTATCACTTATGTTTTACGTATTTCTTATAGAACAAACATATGCATTAATCCTGATAGCGTATGTGATGGACACTTGGGTTGTCCACTACAAGATGATGAACTAAAATCTTTCTGCGAAATGGTTGGTGATACTGTATTGACATGTGGAATGTGGATAGCAAGTCGGCAAATATCAAAAGAAAATATCATTTGCACTCTTGATGATACGCTCAGGAGACTTGCATTTGCATTGAACTGGACTCCACATTTTTCACTGGCTAACTACAGTATTCTTCCACCACTACCGCTATCGTCACCTCTAACTTTATCGCCAAAAAGAGTCCTACCAACAACTCTACTTGATCAGAATGGATTAATTGTTGCAGATGAACGTCAAAACGCATTAACTCAATTTTCATGTCGTGGTGGCATTCCAGTTTATTTCAAAGGTAATATCACGTGCTTATGTCCACCAATTATCTATGGCTCGTTCTGCAAATATCAAAATCAACGCGTCAGTGTTACCCTGCAAGTAGGAGTTCCTGAATAGTGAAACCCATTTGTTTTTTTTGTCTATCTTGTTGATGATACTTATAAGTTAATCAATTCATATCATTATATTCGATATTTATCGATTAGAGATTGTAACACAAAATTCAATTTTCATTTGCTTCATTCTTCTCGGCCAAAAACTGTAAATCAAACTTATTCAGTGCGTATTGATGTATTTGATATGTTAACACTTAAATATCGTGTCAGTTGGATATTTCCAATATTGTTCTCCTTTCTGCCAGTTTACCGTTTACCAATTCAATTAACAGTACCATTATTTCCTGTTTCATCTGAAATCAAATGCCCACTTGAATGTAAAAAAGGACATGGCCGATGTGCTTTATTTTTAAATAGTGGCACATATTTTTGTCAATGCGATCCAGGCTGGTTCGGTCCATTTTGCACAAATTCATATCAGTGTAATTGCTCTCCAGGTTCTCTTTGTGTTGGTACTTCAAGAAATCAGTCTATTTGTGTATGCCCGATTAATAAATATGGCAAACGTTGTTATTTAACGAATAATTTATGTCAAGAAAAAAACGCCAAAAACTGTCGAAATAATGGTACATGCATCCCACGAGATCTACGAATTCCAGTTGATGATAAAACGACATGTTCGTGTCCCGATAAATTTCATGGTGATGAATGTGAATTGAACGAAACCCGAATTGATTTATTGATTGAGATGCCTGCCATGAAAGATTCACTATTGATTCATTTTATCAGAGTTAATTCTCATATGCCTGCTCTACAATTATACCAAGCGAACAATGGGGGCCTCATGAACGTGTGACTACGTTCAAACGAATACCGTTTGATAGTGACGTGGTTACAATCTATTGGCCAAATCCATTTCATCTTATTTTTGTTGAATACGATGATCAAATGTATCTAGTTCTTATTCAATTGAAATATACTACTTCGACTCATCTATTTACTAAATTAGAGCAGAAACAGCGATGCCCACCCATTCAAGAATTATTAAACAATGCTATTGTAAAGTACCCATATCTTCGTCGAGTCAAATACTATCATATTCCATGTCAAGAACAATCAAATCTCGAATGTTTTTACGATACTGATCAATTCATTTGTCTATGTACACATGATGGTCGAGCTAATTGTTTTTCATTCGATCATCATATGCAATACAACTGTGGACAGTTATCATTTTGTGAAAATGGTGGTCGATGTTTTCAAAATAGGGCTACTTGTCCAAAGTGTTACTTGGGTACTCGCTGCCACTTGTCCACAAAAGGTTTTGGTTTACCACTTGATGTCATCCTTGGCTATCAAATTCGACCCAAGCTTGGTTTCAGCGATCAACCATCATCGTTAATCATTAGTAGCATTGTCACTATTATCATGTTTGTAATTGGTCTGATTAATGGTTTTCTTTCAATAATTACTTTTCGACTTGAAAATCCTCGTAGTGTTGGCTGTGGAATCTATTTATTGACTGCTTCAATCATGTCTATTCTTACAATAACTTTCTTTACTTTGAAATATCTTTTTTTCGTGATCACTCAATTAACAATCGTAAGAAATCGTATGTTTATACTCGGTCAATGTTTGATATTGGACTTTTTTCTTAAAATATTTTTGCAAATTGGAGATTGGCTTTATGCTTGTGTAGCAGTTGAACGTTTGATTACTGTCATAAAAACTACGAATTTCAACAAAAACTTCAGCAGACGATTGGCGAAATATTTAATCATGTTGGTGTGCATTATTGTTCCTTGTACATCGATTCAAGAACCGCTAAATCGAACATTAATTGATGATGAAGATGAAGGGCGCATTTGGTGTATTGTACATTATTCAAATTCTTCTTCTACAATTCTCAATAAATATACGTCGATCAGCACGGTAATACATTTTGCTTGTCCATTTGCTATAAATCTTATTTCTGCCTTTGGGATAATTCTCCTCATTACTAAACGTCGATCAGCACTTCAAGAAAATATTCCACTTCATTCTCATCTACAAATTCAATTCCGTGAACATAAATATTTGATCATTAGTCCAATTGGTTTGGTTCTTTTAGCTTTACCTCGTATCCTACTTGCTTTTCTAGTCGAATGTATGAAATCAGCTCGTGAATCAATTTATACTTTCCTGTTTGGGTATTTTATTTCATTTTTACCACCAATACTCCTTTTTATTGTTTTTATTTTACCATCCGATGTTTACATGAAAGAATTTAAACGAGCTATTAATTCTTATTGGCGAAGACTTCATTGTTTATGTAACGAAGGCATCAATTGAATTTGAAGAAGGTTAGTTTGGAATGAAGAAGAAAATTAACACATAATATCCACTGTTGTCTTATGAAATATTTTTTATAAGAAATACTGAAGTAATAGATTAGAATTTCGAACAAACTCCTCCTCCTCCTCCTCTTTATACGAACCTTATATCAATAATATCTCTAATAAAGGCCATAAAGCAATCTCTGCAATAAGTAACATCGTTTACGTTGTGGTTCTCATTTTAATATCACATGAATGGTACTAACAGCTTTTCATTAGAGAGTTTTCTCGAACCTATGTGAAAGTTGTACGCTGTAACTAAAGACAAACCAGATAGATGAACCTATATTTGGTTTTGCTGCATATTGTGAAACAATCAGTAATAAAGTATGATTGGGTTTGCTCATTCAATTGCAATAACTACGTAGATTTTACTGAACATTTCAAGAGCGTTTCCGAGTAAAAATATCTGCTATTCAGATAGAAGCCGTTTCCAAAAGTTTTCTTAGTCTCAATGCTCTATATTTGAGAATCAGTAAATATTTTTATTTCATTTCTATTTTGGGAATTGAAAATCGAAAATGTTAGTAGGATGAAACATGTAATCAACTTTAATATTATTTCTGTTTTAGATAAATATATACCATCAGCATATGTCGATCATCCGTCGTTTTTCATATAAACTTATTCAAAAGCTTTCTATATGTTCTCCTTTCTGCTTTGTTGTCCACATCAAGTATTGTCATTATTAAAGAATAAAAATTTAATCAGGATTTCCTATTGACTCGATGTACTAAACATAAACGATATTGGATTCAGTGGGCGTGTAGATTTGGGTGGATCCAAAGGAAAGATTCACACTGACTCACACCTGGGTTTGGGTGTGACTGTGGACGCCGGTGTACATTAGGATAAGGCTAGACACACCCACACCCACACCCCAACTTGTAAGCAGAACCTCCGATTAATATTGACCATCGTATGAACACGGTAGAATCAAGATAATTATAAATAGTGGCCATAAAAAACGTAGGATATCTTAAGTAAGAATGGAAAATTCGAATATTTTCAGAATGTATTACTCCAAAGGACTGCCGAACAAGGACAAATTACTTTCCAAGTAGAACTGACTGAGCTGTATTCAGCCCAGATACCAATCGTACTCAAAATCTTCCTAAAAACTGAAAGACACAAAAACCACAAAAAAAAGCCATACAGAATTCAGTCAATTTTGCTAAATCCCGTCGCGATTGGCCAGGAAGAATTTTTCAACATAGTCGCAGTAGCTTCCAGTCGATGGAACGGGTGGAAATCTGTTTAGAAACCATCGTGGCTACATCTGGAAGGTACTATTGGGCAATCACGCAAGGATTTAACAAAAACCTAGGAATGTGGACCGGATTTCTATGGGTTGGGAATGTTAAATCGAGCTCAAAAGATGTCTAATCGATAGAGTACAGCAAGATCTACATGGAAAATAGTACGAGTCATTGTAACGTTCTTCTGGGCGAATCGCTATGGATTTTACCAAAATTGGTTCAGTTTCGTATGGTTTTTCTGGATTTTAGTTTTCTGCCAGGTAGTTTTTCAGTAGAATTCATATACGGGCTGGATAGATCCTGTCATGTTCTGCTTCAGAAGTCTTTTTTTTTGGAAAGCTGTTTGGGACGAATCCATTCAGGAAATACTCGGATCCGGTTCAAAAATATTCTCCGTATGCCAGTTCAGCAGGGTGCTCTGCCCTACCCTGGCCAAGGTACAGGGCAGGACAGGCCAGGGGTAGGCACAAAAAATCACCCTGTGGACATCTCTGATCGTAACCGACAATAGATCCGTGCTCAGGAATCCTATCGGATTTTGTCTGGGAGTCGGATCCCATAGGATTCGATAAGATCCGGTGTCGGATTCATTTACGTAGGTTATACGAAGAAAACGAAAATGTCAATGTATCATCAGAGAGAATAATATATAGACATGCACCAAAACCAAAACTAGTTTTGAAATTTTGGTTGTGAGATTGGTTTTGGCTTGGAAAAATAATCTTTTGTGATTTATATCTTAGAGACTTATCAGACTTCCCGTCTGAGTAGAGTTTATCGTAGAATGTAATAAAACCTTTTTCTAACTATTATTTCATGTGTTTTTTTTGCGAAAATTTAAAAATCTTTGCGTTTCAGCAGCTACGTGATCTATAATCATGTACTGACAATTTAGAAAGAGCAAAAATCAATCGATCGAATAGGTCAAATCTTTGATGTAGTTGCTGACTATAACAATCAGTTATAGTTTTTATCATGCTCAGTTTACGCTTCAAAGACTCTTTATCATTGACGTTGTTATTTTTATTTTACTGCCCTCGTTTACTTCGACATATAAATGAATGTATGTAAAAAAAAAAGAGAAGGTAAATAATAAAAATGCCAAGTATTGCTTCTGATCCAGCTCAACACAACAGTAACACAAAAATGTGTTGTGTAATTATCATGCTCTTCTATTTGTTGGCAATAGCCACAGGAGATGGCTCGACACCGGTCAATCAATCGTATCCATGACTGACATTACCACCGGCGCCTAACCTTCCTCAGCCTCGAACTGGTCAACATGCAAATATAGGTAATATACAAGTATGGTACGATATTTATGAACCAGAACACGGTACACCTATTCTCTTTCTTCATGGTGACTTCACCAATGGTGATTATTGGGGGTTTCAAATTGAAGATCTGAAATCGTCTTACAAATGTATTGTAATGGATTCTCGAGGACAAGGACGAAGTACATCATCAGCAGCTAGTATTACTTATCATCTGATGATGACTGATGTCGTCGGTACATTGGATTATCTCGGTATCAATCGAGTCCATATTGTTGGTTGGAGTGGCGGTGCAATTGTTGGTTTCAATTTAGCGATAAACTATCCGAATAAAGTAATTTCATTGTTTGCATTTGCTGCCAATTATATTATATCGGGTGTGAAAGAAATAGGTTCATTTGCTGTTTTCAATGAGCATCTGACACACACTGAAATTGAATATGGACAGCTGAATTCTGTACCAAATTACTAGGATTTGTTTACTAATTTAACAACAATGTGAGATACTCTTCCGAACTGAAGTCAGGCTGACTTTGAGAAAATTCCCTAAAATATATTCGTATGGATCGTAGATGCTGATCGTGAAGAAGCTATCTATAGAAATCAGCTTGACACAATGTCACTTTGGATACCACAGGCTGGAGAACTAATATTACCAAGAACCAGCCATTTTCATTTCCTACAAGATCCTAACACGTTTACAGCGACTTTGAGACAGTTCATGGTCGGTGCTATGCCATTAAAGAATGATCAAATCGATTAAAAAAGCAGTTTCAGCACTTCTTCGACGGAAATCGGTATTCACAGACGAACTATTTTCAATCTTTTTTTATTCGCATCATATTAGAACTTCATTCTAAAAGAAAAATATACTAACTAACCTATTCTCTTTAAAAATGCAACTAACAGATGTCAAGTAGCTCATTTTTGATCATTACTAACGACTAGCATATATATAATATTCATCAACACTTTCATTTCTAACAAAAAATAAACTCTTCTGATTCGAATGAGATTTCTCAGTTTCAATTTTTATTCATTCTCGGCAACATCGTGCGTGGCGATAGTGGGAGTGTACACAAATTTATATCAAACCAACTATTTCAATCCAACAACAGATCGATTTACATTTAGATAACACAATTCGATGTAGTAATCTCAAATCTTACTTATCGACAATGTACTACAGTTGTAATAATCGAAGAAAAATAGTTTATTTCGTCGCCGATGAGTTTGCCTGTATTTTTACAAGATAATATTCTTTATAGTAGTGAATTATCTACTAAAATCTAAATAAAACTTCAAAATAAGAATAGATTATATAGTGTTGTATTTTATAGTCTGTCTTGAACGATAAATTTGCCTGAATTTTTAGATCAGTTGAAATAGTTTCAATAGCCGTTTAAAATAAACATCAATTTGAAATTGGATACGCTATGAATAACGTAAAGTGAGACATACCCTCACATTTTTGTGCTTGTCAATACACATTCCAGCATTAAATTCTTATACTTTGTTTTTATCAATCACCACAATAGTACTGGCATGGGAAAATGAAAGCTGTTTTTAATTACATCACATTGATTAAACTCAAAGGAAAATTACCATTGAAGTTTATATTAGCATTTTGTTTTTCTACAGATGTCATAATAATCTTGCATTCGCTTATATTCGATTGGCAGCAATTCCTGATATCGGTTTATTTCAATTCATATTTTACTTCGAGTCAAAATCAAGAACAACTCAACTATGTGTGCATTTAGCTTCAAGTCTAGTTCTGTTGCGTTTGAATCCAAAAGAAAACAAAAAAAGACTTGGACGTCCACATAGAGCAAAAGTTCAAATCAAGCAGCTCGAATCATGTTGTCTGACAAGGAAAGATTCTGAAAATCACATGTCAAGATGGTAATTCAAACAGGATATTACAATAAAAACTTATGCTGATTTCACAAGATCAATCGTTAAAATCAAAACATTCTGCATTGCTTCCAACCATTTCGCTTCTATACTTCTTTAAGAAAAACAACTTTTCGAAGGTGAAAACCTACAAGAACTCATCGTTCACAATCTAAATAATCACGCCCTTGCATGCACTGCAATACTCAAAGAGGAACTCAACAATTTGCAAATTTTGAGTACAGCTATACCAAAAGAAAAAAAATACATTCTTTTTTATTATCGATAAATTTGGAATAAAAAGTCTCTATAAGACTTCACACTAAAAACCAAATACGAATTTCATAATACATGATGCTTATTTGATTGTCGTGGTTTAGCCAATAATTATGATTTTAGTTGACAAAAATAGTATCACCTTTTAATAATAAATTCTTTCAATCGTAAAGTATCGAAAGATTAAGCTGACTAACATTTATATCATAACTTTTACGTACCCTTAATATCGATGTTTGACCAAAAAAAAAGAAATGAGTCACATACGCATCGGTGTATATTTGCATAAGAACAATCGAACTCATATCACGTTGCCAGCTGTAAATTCGTATGACAACAACAACAAACAAAGAAAGAAATTCACCTTACATTTTTCTTTCCTTATTCTTTCAGTAGAGCTAAAACACAAGCGTAGAGTGTGTAACTAAAAGACAAAGGTATATACAAAATTCATGAAAGACTCAACGAAAGAATACGTCAAACAAGATTCATTTACAAGTAAAGATTAATAATTCACCGTTGTTTATTTGGTTCTTGTTATGTCAAATTTTTGACTCAATAGATTATGATGATGAGTTCACAATGTCAGATCAGCAATCATCGATCAAAAATTTTGAAAAGTCCGATGATTCATGTCGAAAATTAACATTAATGGATGTCGATCAAGCATTACATACATTGAAAATTCATTCGAATTCATCTCGAAAACGAACTTTGTCTTCCAATGATACTACATCAACGAGGGTCTTCGTACAAGGTAAATTACCAGGAAATTATCTTTAATCAAGTGTATCAGCGATTATATGAAACTATTTTTTAACTATTCAAAGCAAACACTCGATAGAGAATACGTAGAAAGAAAGAAAGAAAACTGTTCAACAAGACGAAATTGGCACACAGCGCCAAAAAAGAAAATATTTTCATTGTTGTAATGCACTTTCCATTCATCTATGCGTTATACTATTATAATACATTACACGGCAAATGGCAAACAGTTGTCAGCTTTCTATTTGAGAGTGGTAGCTCTTTGACTGAACTGAATTTTTATCCTGGAGTATTTTAAAGAGAATCGCAAAATTTGTTTGTCTGGCGGATTAAGCGTAGCGTGAATAACACAGCTTTATTTGTGGAAGATTAAACTTGTTTTTGAAGAAAATTTCCCTAGATTCCATAAACAGTTTATAAAATATTCGTTACATATTTCAGATTCTCGTATGAAATTTAAACACGGCGCTTTTCTTTCAAAATATACAATAGCGCTATACTTCGAAATTCTACAAAAAAATCTCTGGAAACCATGCTAGTATGAACATTGCTAAGTCATTTTTGACAGTCCTACCTATTGCTAAAAGTATTTCTAGAAGTATGGATACGATAGATTAATAAAAATGGCCAGAACATTGTACCGAAATAAACTCTATATTTTTTTGCGATAGATAAAAATGATTCAATGAGAGATTCATATTTTGAGTCGTCTATTTGCTTTATTTTAGATATAGTTAAATATTACATTGGAAACCATTTAATATTAATGAATAGCTAAAATACCATCAGCTCTAGCATTTGCGCATCAATATTAAGATTTAAATCTCAGTGATTGCAACTTTTCTAGTTCCATTTTACAGAAACGTTTTTTTGCAGTGTTTTCTGATATTTCAGCTTTCAAAAATCGAATTAACGTTCCTTGAAAGCTTAAGCTATTTGGTTTATTCGTTGTTGTTCTTTTTACACGTAGTACATAAATACAGGAATATTATCCGTTGAGAGATCAAAATTAAAATTTAGGATTTATTTTAATTTTAAATAGAATATGATTGTTGTCGTCTACGCCAAGCAAGTTCTTCGTCTCATTTACTATTGCCACTGGCTCGTCGCGGTCGCTCAGTATTTTCATCTCGATCTAATCGCTTATTATGTTCGAATTGTACAAAACTTAAACAACAGCAACAAATCGATATTTTACAACGTCAGGAAAAACAAAAATTTCATTCAAATCATACTTTTCAAATAACAATTAATTTAGATTTATCATCCGAAGAACAAAATGCTTTAAATAGTCATCAATATGAATCGAGTAAGACACTCGTTTGGAATACCAATAGATCACATGGAAACAATCTTAACCTTTCTTATGATGCACAGTCCTTAGATGAAACTGGCAGAAAAAATTTACTAGATCAAACAGTAAAAAAACTGCAAATAATTCTCAATAATCAATCAACGGCAATAGAAGAACAAAATCCTGAAACTACTTCTCATCTATTACAAACAACAATAAATATTCTTTCTTCATCACAAAACTCGATTTAAATTTATTGAAAATAGGATAGACTAAAAAAACCGAAGATAACGATTATTGGATCCTATCGTACAATGAATTAGTTTTAACAACAATCAAAATACTAGAAGATATTTACATGATAATTGGTGTTGTTTCCGACCTGTATTAGATATTAATAAAATAAAATAAATTGATGATGAATCTTCTTAATATGATAAACTACGTAGTTTTTCTTCTAAAATTAAAAACAAGACAATCAATAAATATATATTCCAATGACGAAGAAAAATTTTGAACTAAACCAAAATGTATTTTTTCTCACATTTTAAGATATGAAGAGGAAAGTGTAAAGGCGAAGTTTTCTCTTGATTCACACGCTAGAAGATTCGTAGACTATAGTCTCCACTGAGTCCTTTTGATTAAACCAAAAGTCAGATTTGCGAAATATGCAATAGCTAGTGGGAATCGTTTCTTTCGTAAAGTCTTGTCCGAGTACCCTTGAACAAGATCGACAATTAGCAACAAATACAAGAAAGAAGATTTGAGAATCTAATAAAAAAAATTCCTATGTACAGAACGAGTGGAATTAAGTTATAAAGAACAAATAGAGGAGTATCACTTTCAATCTCATAAAGATTTTATGATTTCACAATACTTACGTATGTAAGTCAGTTGTTAGTATTAGCATTTATGGGTGTGTGGATGTGACTGTATTTTTAACTCAACCACACCTACACCCTCTAAGATGAAACTGAAACTTTTACAATCACCATTTTGCTAGTGTTCAATTGATGGTTCATTTTATCTATAAACAACATCAATTTGACAATTTCAGACCTTTTGTCATTTGGCAACGATGATCAAAACGTGATATCTTATCTTACAGAAAGTTTCCTTAACTAGATAAAAATTTTACATCTGTTGAAATTCGAAGATAATATTTGTAATCAGCGTTAAATCTTGCATAGAATGATATATTAATTTCAATACACGGCGACAAACGTGCTATGGTCGATTCCTGGATAAGTGCCGCAGGCAAAAACGTCATTAGATCAATTTTACAAAATTGAGCCGTTAAAAATGTTTTCCACAGCTGTTTTACTGAATATTTCGCAGTGTTTTATATACAAAACTAATAGAGATTGCAAAATATTTTTATTTGCACGCGTCTTTTATTTTAAAATATAATACTAAAAAAACCAAACAACAAAATCAACGATTATTCGATTCTATTGCACAATGAATTAGTTTTAATAATAATAAAAATACTAGAAGATATTTATAAGATGATTGATATTGTATTTGACCTGTATCCGAAGCTGCTAGCAGTAGGTAAGCAGATGATGAACCTTCTTGACGTGGCAAACGATGCAGTTCTTCTTCTAAAATTGATAGAATCGTATAAACAATAAATATAGATGCTTGACTCAAAAAGAATAATTTAAATAGAATTAAAATCAATTTTTTTAATTTGTTAAATTAGATTTATTCTTGCTAGGTTAAATATGAACAAATCAACTTAAGTCGAAGAAGTTTAGATAGAGAAAGTAAATACATATGAATGTCTATTGTACTGGTTGCTTCTTTTAACCGGATCAGTCTGTAACAGGTGAGAAAGTCATATAGAATTCTCAAAATATCACGAAGACGTTGTGCTAAGCTATTGTCTAATATTAGATTATCATAAGAGCTTAAATGAAGAGACGTATAATAACGATAAAGTAGCTTATTTCTCACTTTTCACATTAGTCTACCGAAGGAATCTATCGTTTTAATACGAATCTAGATGCACTACTGCTAATCCAATTCTAATAGAATTTTCTGGAATAATCTATTCATAAAATGACAATAAAACAAAACAGTATGAATCAGAATTGGAAATAAACTTCACGACGAACACAGTTTCCCTGATGTGCCATGAAAAACATAATAGGGTCTAGGTATGAGGAGAGATCATAGCCAAGAAACAACCGTTCATAGAACAACCTACGATGACGAATCTTTATTACGTATATAACAAGAATGAGCTATAAAATATCTAAAGTCTAGCATTCTAAAAAGTCATGGTGAGAAAATACAACATGTTAAAACTTACTAGTTCTCCGTCTAACTAATACTGATGATTCCTTGTCATCATATCTACATGTATAATTTGTTTGATTAAAATGATTATTATTCGTATTCGAAAATACTGTTAAACGTTGTGTATTCGATGAAATTGTTTCAATAAAAGATTGATATCTATCTTCATTCAATAATTGTCCGTTAACAAGCCACATTAAATTATGAACATCAATTGATGAGCCACACAAAATTGAGCATGTTATTGTAAATGTTCGATTGACCGGATAAAGAAGTATGGGTGACGATGGAGAAAGATATGGATGAGCTATTTTAGAAAAAAAAACAAATCTTAGAGTTGCTTTTTGTGTATGTCCTTCGAAAACAAAATCTTACAATTCACAACTAATTTAATACCATGTTGACCACTGGTACTTGATTTACATGTATAGTAACCTTGATCTTCCATTAAAAGATTATTTATTGATAAGCGAGAATTTGAGGACGATGATGAAATTAAATTAAAGCGGCCATTTGCTGCATATTCTGGTAAAAGAATATCACCAATAGCAATAAGGGATAAGCGATGGTGAGATGTATTGGGACGAAACCAGGAAATCTAATATTTGATAAATTAAACTATCGATAATTCGAAATGGGAGCAAAGTTTTTGTTGTTATGATTTTATACAACTCATTGCTTTTCCAAAAGAAATGCTGTTTATGATATAGATGAACAATGGTTGTAGTCTTCTTTTAGTTGAGGAAAAATGCTAGGTACTAATATATACGTTTGGATTATAAGAATACTCAAGTCTAAATGTTAACGTAAATACAACTCACAGTAGGTTCCAAAACTTTTAGGAAAGTAATTGTAATTATAAAATGATATCTGTTTTTTTCTCTCGAAAATGAGCTACAAATGACCAAAATTTTAGAACGCCAACTTGTATCTCCTCATATTTTGCTAACATACTATAAAAGAAAATAATCCTTCTCAAAAGTATGCAGCAACCTATTTCTAATTATATGAAGAATAAAGCCATCGAAAAAATATTAAAACTAACAAAATACGATACGCTAACGTAATACCAAATGTTACATTGAAAAAAATCCTGAACACATGTCAACAGCATACTGTCATACATCACTTCAAGACACTCGTTAGATACTACAGTAAAAAATAGATACTGCTCAAATTTAGAATTCCCATCATCTTAATTTTTCCAGATTTTTCCAATACTTTTCTATTCTCTTGAGGGAATTTTTCAATAAAGGAAAATAATGAATTTTATTTTCTATGCTCTCTCAATGACATACCACTTCATCAGATTGTTTTATTGAACGAATAGGGCAATTCAGTTCCACATTAGTACCACATGTAACATGCATTATTGTCTTGGCTGTTGTTGAACCATTAGCTACGAAAAGTTACAATAAAAGAAAAAGCAACTAATTATCATCATTCCCACAGGACTCGTTACTTACTACAATATGATAATGATTGTAATAGAAGCAAATAAAAAGCGACAAAATCACCAAATCTTCGAAACGACAAGTTGATAGCGATGTTGATCATTATTATCGATAAACGTCTGCCACATTGCGTCTGCAATAATACATATAAAAATCATTGTGGACATTCATATATATCTCGGGTGTGATTAACTTTATAGTAGTAGTAGACGTCACCTAGACTGCTCTTTTTCTCTTTTATTCGATACACAAACATATACACACGCCTCACATAAATTTCGATCTTTCATCATTTTCTTCTCAATTAAAATCATATTTGATGTTAAGCTACAACATATATAATAGACGAGGATAATGTTAACCCTGATATATCGAATTTGTCCGCCTTTGTCAAAAAATGAAATTTTTTCTATTCACCTATGCGTTTATAATTAAACGATTCGCATAGATTCAAATGTTATTAAATAAAAATGACTCATTTTTAATAGACTACATGCATGTGCAACTTCTCTGCGTTCTTTTTTTGTTGTTTCTAATCATCAAACAATTAATTGATGTCGATATGTGTTTATACGAAATTCGATTCTATGTAGCTTTTGCCATATGTCAACAATAGAAGAAAAAGAACAACTGTTCAGTCTGTCTCATTGCTACATGTATGCTCTCACACATAGGCAGCACGAGCAGACGACGTAGAGAACAAAGAGAAAAAAAGGGGAAAGTTAACTTTTGAGAGAGTACAAGCACTTGAACGGTTTATTACATAAATAGAATAGACGCAACGAGTCATGCAGACAAAAGATTGTTCAATAAGTCAGACACAAAGCAAAGAGAGGCAAAATGAGAGACACAAAGGCAGAATCAGGGAACAAGATAGAATAATTTATTCTTTACCATTCAAGCTAAAACAATGACGACAAAGACAAAGACAAAGCAAAGAATTTAAAATTAGATCGATATAAATGATGATGTATGACACACGAGATCACATCAGCGTTAATAGACCAAAGAGAGACAGAAAAGAAGCAGCAATAGGATTTGGTTTCGTATGATGATTGAACCATTATGCACGTGCGGCTCATCTCATGTGCATATATATATGCTCTTGAATCTCCTAACGACATCCGTGATGCAACTCATACATACATACATATATATATAAGTCAAGAAAAAGACATGATCAATCAACACTCAAACAAATGGACTTCTCGTTTTTTTTTGTATATATATATATATTTCTTGTCTATTCTTGCAATTTTTTATTCGAACATTTAAGTAAGATGATCATTATATTGAATATATAATATAGATATTTGTTTTATACAAAAACAAGACCTTCATATCTGACATTCCTAATGGGTGTACAGTATATATATATATATAATGATGTTGTAGTATCTCTGTAACATATATACTTGCATAATCACAAACAGATCGCTCAATTCTACTAAGGCAATGTCAAAAATCAATTGATAACAATTCTCATACTCAATTGTTCATTATCGATTGATTTTGATCCGTCATGGTAAATGAACACACAAACGAAACAAATTTATGTAGGTTCTAAATAAAACAACTTACTTGAAGTTTCTTTTTTGTTGCGATGTAACCTTCACACCACAATTGTTTCCGATAATATCCACTTGACGATGGAAAGATAGATGTCTATATATGTAGTATGAATAGAGTTCTATAAAGTTTGTATCATCATCTATTTGAAGAACGTAGATGATAGCGTGCAGCTATTCAATAGAAAGTATTGTGGATTCGTTGAGTTGAATTATGAACAAGAAATGATGAGCATTCCTCGAGTTGTCGATTAAGCATCAAGAGACATACAGAGAGAAGAAGAGAAGAAAAAAAGAAAGAGAGAGAGAGAGAGAGAGAGAGAGAGAAACAAAGCATAAGGGGGAAGAGAGACAGAGAACAATGTCTTCTCTATTCTTCTAAATCTAGAATTAAGGTAATTCATTTGCTGTTAGATTCACCTTTTTTTGTTCTTAGTCTTCTTTTTGCATAATTCAGCTAACTACAAACATAGTTGTGTTTACTTGAATGAACAAAAAATCTCCATTAAAGAATGAAAGGGAAAGCAAGACATTTCCCGTTAAATACGTAATATTCAATGTATAAAAAAAAGAATGGAGAATGTTTTTATTTTAGTTTGTTCTGTTTCTTTTTCTTGTTTTCTTTCATGATCACCTCAGAGACGAAAATGTGTCGGCATATATGTTTGTTCAATCGATTGAAGTAAAAGTATAGAAAAGAAAAGAAGAAAAAAATTGTAATTTTCACATGCAATCAGTTCCTGTGGAAGAAAAAAAACGTAACTTAGTATATAAAAAATAACGATGGCGTTGCAATCGCATAGCATGAATTTAACAGAACCACTTGCACCTAATGCTGAATGGGTCCATGAAAGTTCGGCTCAAGTAGGTTTCGTTTTTCTTTTCTTTTTTGTTCATCTTAATCATAACTTTTCACAATGTGATTGATTGCCTGACCAGTCGTACTCAATGATTAATCTTGATCTCGATAGGAGGTGTCATTGGTAGTAAGGATGGATGGATGAATGATCTGCGAAGGCGATCGCCTGCCCGCCCCTGAACTTCTAACACAGCCGTCAGGTCACGACATAATGCCTATTATCATAAACTTACCTTTCGATGATGTAATATAAAACAGTGATGATTTCCTTGTTACTATTACTCTGATGTGTTGTATGTCTAATCTATGGCTTGACACGAGTAAAAAGAAGGAAAAAAAGAAATCCGTTGTGCATTTATTATTCAATTGATAATCACGATATGACGATAGAATGTAATGAGGTTCAAGTCATTATTCTTATGATTGAACGGATGGATTTCTTTGTCTATGTTGTTTTTTTTTTGATCAAAAGATTTATTATCGCCATTGTCAAAATTCTCATACCTTTGTTGATTCTTTTTTCTTTTTCTTCATCTATTCATCCAATGAAATCGGATACTATTCACCTCTTCTCACTGATGTATCATGTCTATAGAATGATTTTATGCAATTGAAAAAACATTTATCTGCATATAATTGTAGGTTGAAATTAAATTGTATCATGGACATACCGGACCTGTTAAATCATGTCAATTGATTGAAAATAAAAATTGGCTTATTACAGGATCAAATGACAATACAGCTCGTATATGGGATTTTCAGAGTGGAAAGGAAATTCATCAATATAAACTTAATCATGATATGGCAGCTATTCCAGCAGTCCGGATCAATCAGGAAGCAACGCGGTATATTAATATATCATATATAGTTATATAACAGTCAATTAATAATTGGTCATGCTTCTTTCTAGTTTGTATTCATGTGGTTGGGACAAAACAGTTCGTTGTTTTGACGTAGAAACTGGCAAAGAAATTGTATGATACAGATTTATGATTTTCATAGTTGTTTTTAAACTTATTTTCCTCTGCTAGTGGAAAGGAGTACATGAACATATTGTTACAAATTGTCATATATCTCATGATGGTAAATCATTGTGTTCCGGTACTGATCTAGATAGTGTTCTATCAATATGGGATACAGCAACTGGTGTTATGAGTACACGAATCCCTAATGTACACGAATCAACTATAACAAGTTGTCAATTTAATATTCCAGACGATCGAATAATTACAACATCGACAGATAAAACAACAAAATTTTTCGATCTTGTTACTCATCGTTCTACAATGACATTAAGGTATACGTATTCATATATATATATATATATGTATGTATGTATAGGCACAGATTGGTTCACTTGTCAATTAATGATGCAAGACCAAAAAAGACTATGTCATGAAAGATTGATCTTATACAACAGAGTAATCATGGAAATATAGCAAAAAGAGCTAATTGATAATGATGCAATCGCATGAGAAATCAATAGAATTTTTTCCCTAAAATAAATTCCATATTAATGATGTCGAACAAAAAAAGCACATAATGTTTTTTCTTTCTATTGCAGAGGTCATGAAGGAGTTGTATCAAATTGTACATTCAATAAATTTGAGCGATTATATGCAACATGTTCATGGGATAAAACAGTATTGCTCTACGATGCTACGGTTGGTAGTTTTAGGTGAGTGACAAGACAATTAGCTCTTGCCATTCATGGCAGCTCTGTGGGTGTGCAAATTAATGAGATGGCCTTTTCAGATGCTCATCCTTCCTGTGCTCCTCCTTCTTCCCTACCTGCTGAGCATGTCAACTGTTCAATTGATATGTATATTTCTTTTTATTATAGACGTGAAGGTCCTTTAATGTTACCAAAATTACACGAAGGATCGATCGCCGCATGTCACATGTCAGAAGATGGCAAGCTGCTTGTTACTGGAGGATATGATTTACGAATTGTATTATGGGATTTAGATAATATGACACATAAACTAGGGCTACGTGTATGACAGATTAAAAATGAGTATCAATTATAGAAATTTAAATGAAATATTTTAGGGACATCGTGATTGGATTAATGATGTCTGTTTAACAAGTGATAATACATGGATTATATCTGTATCAAATGTAAGATCTATAGAATATTTACGACTTCTTCTTTAGAAATTTACTTTTTATTTAACAAAGGATTGTGATATACGTTTATGGCATGTAGCTAATTGTGATAATATAAAACAAGTTATAGAGCAAAATAAAACATTGAAAAATGCTAAAATAATTAGTGTAAGTTTACGACGAAGGCATTTTCTCTTTATTTTGTCTTATGAAATTGATTTTAATTTAGTGTTCAAAATGTAGAAAAAATTTTTCATCAAATAAATTACAACGTGAAAATGGTGATTCAGCAATTTTATGTGTTTTTTGTCGTCTGGAACAGAAACAAAAGAATTCACACTACACTCAAATATTACATGATTATGATCGACCAGGAGTTTTGAATGATCAAGTATCTCTTAAATCAAATTTTACTGAACCATCAGTTCCAAGTTTTCAACATTATTAATTGAAATTGAGAAAAAAAAAGATAATTGTTTTTTCTACTATTTTTTTATTTTAGTAATAAGAAAACATTCGTTTTATAATTTATATAATCGAAAAATTTCGCTTTGATGGTGATAGGGAGCTATTAAAAATCATTGACTATTTGAGTACGAAGTACCGGAAGTATAGTAGCAAATATGTAGAACTATTTCTCTAATGGATCATGAGAGACTCGTCAACAACGTGTATCTATTTTCATCACAGATGCTGTTAATCTACGTTCCAAGATCATAGATAAATAACATGTCGTTCTGGCATATGAAATTTTTACTCATTGGATTTCTGAGGGAACAAGAGGCACTATAATGAGAACATGTACACTAAAATAGATAGAAATGAAGCAACCTTCCATGATTGGCAACAACAGCCACGCCGCGTATGTCACATGTTGGTCTCATAAGGATTGTGGCAACAGTTTTTGTGTAATGTACCGAGCAAAATAAAAATTGATTTATTAAAGAAGGGTCGACGTTTCGAGAAGAACTCTTAACATCACCCTTGATTTCAGAATATCAAGTGCTACAATTACAAATTTATTACATATGCAAATAAAACACTTAGCTGGATTTTAATTCAATGGAGCAGAGTTGCATGAATGAATGAGCCAGGAGAAAAAAAAGATTATTTTTCCATTGGTAGAAAATTGGTGCAGGGGGATAGCACATAGAAATCTCAAAAGAGGTTTCGGCAACGCTATCCGACTACGTGCTAAAGTAAATCAAGTAACGCTAATCGAATGAATGTGAATTATTTTTTGACTTGCTTTGAGTTTTTTTTTCTATTAAATAAAACAGTTGATCATCTACCATTTGGTGTTGTCCAAGGTAAACATTCTTTTACAATTGTCGTGCCATAATTCAATTAGATTTTTAAAAATTCTAACAGTAATTCGCCATAGCTGTTTTATTTTTTTGAAAGGTTTAACAAATTTTACGATCACTACGCGAGACTTACAGGTGAACATCTCGATAGTTTTTATTCAAACAGTAAAAATAATGACTGGACAAATATAGATTCGTGGTGTTTTTGAAATCTAGGTGATAGTGCTTGTTTTAGAAGAAGAAAAAACAACGGCGGGTGAGAGTTTTTATTAAAATTAGTACAAAACAGGATGGAACACATTAATTTGCACGATTGGAAAGAGGAAATAAAGTCACATGAAATCATTTACTAGGGGTTTTTCTAGGCTGTTTTTGGAAGTTCTTTTTAATTAATTTTCTAGATGACGTGCTGAAAACATGTTTTCAATGTAAACAAAACAAGCAAAAATATATTATTTTCTCACAACAATGGCTGAAGAATTTCTAGTAAAACAGCTTTTACTCTCTAGAAATAAAATGTCAGATTGGTGTAATTTTGTAAGTCTTCTATTAGCCGCTATAGTTCATATTTTCGCAAAAACGAAAATGCATTTTAATCGATTCATATGGTTGATAGTGTAGTCGTGAAAAAATTGATAATAAACCTTGACAAGAATCAGGTCAAAACAGCCACGTGATGAATGATTCAATGCATCTTTATCTCTCTATATTTTTTTGTAAGAATGAAAATTGCACTTCTCTATCTTGCCTTTTTGTTTTATCAAAAGCTATTCGAGTAGTATTTACTCATTCTTTTGTTTTTTGAAATAGACACTCAGGGTTTTTCTCTATATTGAAGTCAGTAATGAATTCTTTGGATAGAAATGCGCTAATTAAATAAATATATATATATAGTTCTTCAACTGAATGATAAGCAGTTCTATCTATTATGTTACAACGTATGAACAAGTTTCAATTTACATGAGTTGTTATCTGAGAAGGAAATCGTTTTTTTTCAGAAAAACATGCTTCACGACTAAACAGTTAAATATTGCGTAGACAATATTGATACTTGAGATTTTCATTGCACTACTGTTAGATTATTATGATTAACTGACAATATAAAAAAAAAGCTATTATTACGCATACAAAACAGTTGAGCATCGATTACTGGCCAAATAAAAGCCAAATTAATATGATATAATCTAATGCTTAATCACGACAATAGTAAACGATTTTTTTTATGACTCTTTGGAACTTATTTCACGTATGAAAGAAAGAATCTTTTTGTTTTAGCTTTGATTTGATAATTAATCTATAGTAAATATCATTCATTTTACATGCACTGTCATTTCGTATTTCATATAAATTTAAGTAAGACTTATAAGGAAGAGGAAATAACTGCTGTTGCGACATCGGCTTATTAGTTTGTTTCGAACGAGTTAGTTTTAAGCTAAAAATTCACTTGATAGTTACCATATTTAGGATTTGTTTTTGTTTTTGAAGAATTTGAGCTATTGTGTAAAGGCTATAACTTTTTAATTCTGAAACAAAACAAAAGATAGTCTCAATCAATCAATCAATCAAAAACTTCTTTATATACATATAGCTGAAAACAATAGTTACTCATAAAGCAAAAGCATGATCATGAATATTCTATTGAAAAGAATTTTAGTTTATATAGAAGTTCATGTAAGAAAAAATAAATCTAATCGAAAGACATGCCATTGGAGAAATAATTACATTATTCTCAACCTGTGTGTTTGTCCACCAGAAGGCTGTGAAGATTTATTTATTCCTTTCGTTTTATCCTTGTCTGACTGTCTGACTGTCTGTCTATCTAACTATCTATCTTTCTTTCTAGATTTCTTCAACCTTCACATAACTTGGATATTGATCGATTACTAATGAATAAACCTTGTCATAGCCTTCAGATATCAAGGAATCAAAGTAAATTTCTGTTTCCAAATAAATGCATATGTCATTGTTTATCCATCCAAAAACGTTATAATGAAGGTGAATTAAATCCATTTTGTTTTTCTCCTCGGTAAGGTTTCTTAATCAAAATTTAACTTCTATAGAAGACACACATATACATTTGCATGTTTCAGCTGATGAATAGATTGCGCTCAAAGAATGCTAATAATACTATTTAGCTTTTTTTCGTAGCTAAAAACAATAATATTATCTTGAGATTATTTATCTCTCAAGGTTTTTCTCCTCGTGATAAAATTTTCTTTACTCTAGAAATGATCACATTCTAATTATATATCGTTCGCTTGTTTTGAGTAAACTTCCCGTGAGAATCCTCTTTTTCTATCTCTCTTATTGAGACACGAAGAAATAGAATACAAAATAATAATTTATACAGAAGTCTTTCAGTTAAAAATATAATTTCATACACATAATGAAAAAAAAAACCTTCTATTTATTATATAAGGACAATCGTCTTCTTATAAAAAAAAAAGTCATAATAGAGAAGAGAAGAAAACGGGGACCCACTATATATCGAATATTCTCCTTGATAAACTTGACATTGTCTCCTTCTTCAATACTTGTCTTTTCAATGGCATTGTATATGTACAAGGTTTTTTCGATCGTTCTTTAGTATATAAAGGCATCATATTTTTGTTCTTGGTCTTTTTTTTCTATCCAAGGCCTGAATAACGGCATTACACTAGAGAAGTATTAATAATAAAATGCAATAAGAATGAAATTGTTTTGTTTCTATCTTAAGCTGAGCTTTGATAATTAAAACCTAAACTAGAGAAACCGAAATGACTCATCGGTTTGTTCGTACTTAAGAACACGAAACAGAATAACAACGGATGTTTTTGAAGGTTTTGTCGTCAACAAGTAATAGAGTTATGTAAACGCCTTCGCGTACGCGATCGCAAAGCAAAAACACGACTTCACCTTCACCGATAAAAGAGGACGGAAAACAAGCGCAAACGGAAAACAAAAATGACATGAAGGCTCGTCTAACAGAGAACGAGAAAGAGAACGAGAAAGAGAGATCGAGAAAGAGAAGACGAGAACTTGTTGCTTTTGCTTAGCTCGCGACATGCAACCTATTTCATCTAAGGTCATTTATTTATTAGAATACTTTGGACAAAGTTTGGTTTATTGATGCAATATTTAGGTATGATTGTACGAAAAAAAAACTATAACATCAGCTGTTGCCAATGTTGTAAAGTGACGTTTTTCGACAAATAGCAGCAAGGTATAAATGATTATCTTTTACAAATCATGGTAAGATAATACTACTAAGCTATGCGTGCTAATCAAACATGAGCACAAGTGTGTAGTATGTGAACTTGTATTAAATATTGTTCATATTAATTCAAGGTCATCACTTTCTGCTATGGTTTACGTGATTGTGTAGACCTTTCATTTGGTTCCTCTCACCATCTTTGTTTCTACTATTCAAGGTCATCAAAGCTTATTTTTCACATGTCCTTCTTTCATTCTCTTTCTTTCTCAGTCCTATTCCTTCATGGGCATCAACCGAACAAGAAAGAAAGCAAGAGAACCTTATTTTCTTATTCTCTTCTTTCGCCTTCAGGCTGCTCTGCGGTGGTGATGATGATGCTGTTGTTGTTTCTGTTTACAGCGTGTGTTTGTGTATAAACGAAGAAAAAGATGGCTAGAGAGAACAAGACAAATACTCATACACTATAGTTGCTAATAGATTTTTGACTTTCAGATTCATAACTCAATGTCAAAACCACAGCAATTCAATAAATGCGATCTATGCTGACGAAATATCAACTACTTTAATTATCTTTATCATAGTATTCTATTTGTTTCTATTTACGGTGAATCAACGTCTAGATTTCTATATATCTATTTTCGTTAATTCGATAATAAATCGATGAATTTAACAAATGATTCTGGCGAAAAAAATGATAATGAAAACAATGCTTCAAGTGACGAAGATGAAGATACGGAAAACGCTTCTACTAACTCACCATCTGTACTCGTAGAAAAATTCTTTTCATCGAATAAAAGTAGTGATGAATTCGACAATAATGATGATGATGATGATGATGATGATGATGATGATGATGATTGTGAAGATGATGACGACAATGGAGATGGTAGTAGTGATATTGAAAATCATTACACTCCCGATAATTCATTGCCGAGAAAAAATCATCTCTGTACATTATTACGAAAATCAAACCGTCTTGTTGAATTAAAATTAAATCTACTTCATAATCATTCATCATTACGACCTACTGCATCTGATAGTGACATGTCAAAACAAACCGATCAGCAACAACGAAATAATATTTTTCTTTCGTCAATTCGGTTACGTCGTCTTTATTTGCCATCCGCTTTTATCTACGTTTTACAGAGTCACATAACAAATTGGTTACAAGCTAGTACCAGCTTAATTGACTCGATATCGTCATCGATATATCATCGACGATGCTGGTCACAATTATTATTAACATATTTTATTGAGCAAGGTTTTGTTAATTTACAATTCCTTCTTTGTACACATTCATTATCATTAACAAGAATTGATCATGATTTATATTCAATACATCAACATGCATGTGTACCAGAAGAAGATGCATATAAATTATGCTCAATTTTACAAAAAGGTTCTCGGTTTAATATCGATGCAAATATTTTCGATCATATACGTCGTATTATTGTTATTAAAAGTATGAAAGAAGGTAAGAATATCGCATAAGAAAACGAACAAAACAAATAAATATGTTTATCGTTTAGTGTTTAATGATAATACAAGTTTACAACAACTTTATATTAAACAATTAACAAGTCTTAAACAATCATTAGCACATCAGCAGTCATCTATAATGAATATAAATAATAATATAACCATAAGTGTAGCAACAATTTATTCTAAACTTCTACTTTTTCTTTCAAGTCTTTATTCGATCAGAGCTGAAACGATGCAAGTACTTTTTTGTCAACATCTTCTACACAATCCGATGTATTCCTATCTTATTAATTCTTAGTGTCACTGTGTTTACACATTTCTTCTTTGTTTTTTTGTATCGAATTTGTCTGTGTGTTTATTGTGTATCCCGGTTGATGATTAATATATGAAGGTATATGTTGTCATCTCGGTCAGATGTAAACGTGTCTATGTATATGTATAGAAAACAAAATACTGTGAATCGATTTAAACAAAGAAACTAATCAACCAAACTAATTGCATTTATAGACGATCGATCTCTATGTCATGTTTCTATTTAAGAAGCAAAAAGACTGATTTAGGCATGTGTTAGAAGACAATGCTCGAAGTTCTACTGTTCGTATACTTATTTTATTATACTAGCGGAAAAACTCATCGTCAGGTTCTGAAGAAAAGAATATAGAAAATAATTAATTAAATAATTAGAAAGGTCATTTGATTTATGAAAGGAATTTTTTAACCATGATGTTTTATATTGTGTCAGATGAAGGTTAACTTAGAAAAATACATGAAAGTCGACAGTAATTGATGAAAATCTTATAGGCTATCAAGGATACATGATTAAATTAGGAAGATACGATGAAAATAAAAAGAGAAAGAAAGTGTTTTTATAAAATGATTGATACTATAATGATTACACAATGAACAAGTTTTCAATATTTTGATAAGATAAGTAGATGAAGTTGTGAGTTAATGATAACTGTATTGAGATTAGCTTCAAACTGACCTTCTCATCCTTGAAAATCACCACAAATACATCATTCAACAAGTACCTTATTAATATCAACGACTGAATGGCCCTGAACAACAAACAAATGATTGTTCGTACCAGATCACGTGTTTGGTACGATTGTGACATACGCTTTCTCAGGTAGATAATTGTCGCATATAGAGAGTACAAGAAACCTATAGCAAGCTAGTCGTAGCTAGTGTTAACTGTAAAAAAGATATTGAACTATTGTATGTGTCTCGTAAGGTCGCTGAAATACGGCGATATTCTTCTATGTTATATAATCGTAGCTACGAATAATTATTCTTGTGCTCCATCGTTTATTTTCCTCTGACTACGTATAAAAACGACTTCGCGAAACGAAAAAAATCTCGTTTAAGCTAGAAAATAGTGTTGGAAAATTTTTCGGTTCTTTACACGGGAAAAGAAAACGAAATTAAATGTGCTCTTCATACAATGCTCAGTCCAACAAAAAAACTCATTGATTTCAAAATGAATAATAGTGCTAGAGAAAAATAAAAATTTGTAAATTTTATCTCATCGAAAGTATTACCAACTAGGTGGTATTCGAGTTTCACTCGTATACGAAATGCAGTGCGAAGCACGAGCCGAGTACACGAAAAAATAAAAAATTTAACGGAACAGGAACAAGCAATCTTAAAATTCGTCGTTCACAAAATCATTACATTTTTTTTATAGTTCTCGAGTAATCATAATAGAATTCATTGCTGAGAAAACTTTTTTTTTCGTGGTAATCACCATAATCCTAGAGAATGCTTTTGATTGAACATTAAATTATTTCAATGATTCGCTATCTTAGATCAGATGCGAAGAAATAGACTATTGGCTATTATTACTTGATGGTGTCATTTTAATTATCTCGAAACTATCAAACAATAAAACCTTTCAAAATCATCATTTGTCGAATGATATTTTTAGGCGAACGAAACTTAGTATTGAAAATTGGAAAAAAAGATGTAACAAGTTCGATCTCGATACTTCCATATCTAGTTTGAATGGATTTTCTATCATTTACGACTCTCTAGATCATCGCGCCACTTAATGAGAACTTTTGCGCGTACTAAAGTTAGAAAGAATCAAAAAAATAACTCGCGACGGACTACATGAATGCTGTGCGTCGCACCGCATTAAATATTCATCTGACATACATCACACGGATTATAGGTAGAGATTAATTAGATACTATTGCTCTTCAACATATGCGACTGTTGCGATTGTTCAGTCGAAAGAATAAATAATGCTTCATAATATTTTAGTAACCAGACGCAGGTTAGATTAACCTCAATCATATTGCACGAGCTTAAAGCTTCCTTTTTTTGAATTACACTTGAAAGAGATATCCCTAGAAGTGCTCTCAAAGCGCTTCTACCGTTTCCGAAGCATGCACCGTTTTCCTTACTATGAAATTTAGCCTTTTGCTTTTGAATATAACTAATTCAGCAGAAATATAATATAATGAAAAGACATTTTTCTTATCCAAAAGAAAGTAGCAGATGTGTTGCATAAAGTAAATTGACGGCAAAAATTTAATATGAATTTCAAATGTCAGAAAAAAAACAGAAAAACACTATTATAAATAAATCAACTGTTTAATATTCTAGGCTCGTCAATGGCAGGAATAAAAGTTGAATGCGTGAGTAATTAACATTTGAATTCTCTAGTCATGACTGCACTTCGTTTCTAAAAGACTGTTTTGTATTGTGATTGCATCACTCAATGAGAAATAATTTAATTCAGAGTATCTCTTAAATTTATTGATAATGTATTATTAATATTTCACATTCGGTGTATTTTTCAAAACAAACAACAAAAAAGATCTCCAAGCCAAACAAAATATCCGAAGATTTCATTTTCTTTCAAGATTAATAGCATGTTGAATGTTGCAGAGCATAATTCATCGAAATAAATAGTGACAAGTGCAGATATTTCATAGACATAAGTTTATTTTCATCCATTGAAGATGAAAATTGCTTTCTATTTCTATTGATCCGCATATATATATATCAGTATTGTACAAATAATGAGAGAAGTAAGTTGTTTATTGTAAGGTTAAATAAATAGTCTTCGCCGTGTACGAACAGGAAATTTCAACATTGAAGAATTATTTGCAATAGAACTATTTAATTCCATTGTTAATGGTGCTAATGGTGTACTGACTCGAGATAACTGATGCATTAGATTATATTTACCGGTTTTAGTACGTACAAGTTCATCTATTTTCGGTGCCATTTTAAGTGTGAATGTTACGATAACGACACAGAGAAGAATTATAAGAAGTCCAACAATACTTATAATACGTGTAATAATACGTTTTTTTCTATCAGCTGCTGCTAATAAACGTTGTTGTTTAATTTCTAGTAAGTTTGGTGCTGTTTGTTCTGAAAATGTAGAAGGTATTGATGAATTATTTTTATTATATATATTCGATTTTTTTAAATTGTACAGCTGTTGTTGGTGTTGATGATGATGAGCATGATGCCGAGATTTTGTATCAAGATGTTGAAGGAAATTAGCATTTTCTTCAGAATTTTTATTATCGTTATCGATCACTATTTTCGGAAGCGATTTGGACTCGCTAGACGCAAGTGACCTACTAGCGTTTGACATTCAATTAGAGTTTATACATCAGTTCAAATGCTTGATAAATGCGATGTCGGAGAACGTTTGAAAAAAACCCTAGAAGAAAAAAAATAATTTTCAATAAGAATCGTGGTATTATCGAAGAACAATTGTAGTATTAGTCTAAGCTTTATATTTTTTTTATTAAATATGAATCTAGATTAGCAAAAATAATAGAGAACTACTTACACTACAGAGAATAGTATGACTTCGTTTGAATATACTGATAGGAGAAACTGGCAATCGAATAGAGTGAACTGTAATAGTAAAGATGTATATATATATATATGTTCATTCGATTAGAGCTTCGAACCATGAGAATAATCCGATAAAATTGATAATGCAACAATTATATTTCGAATAAAAAGATTTATAATAAGATTTAAGCGTAACTGAAAAGATTAACTGTCATTTTTATTTTGAATAACCATTATTCAGTAAACCATCGTTTTTTATAATCAGAGTTCATGTGTTAATAACATGGGATATAGTTGTCGACAAAAAAAAGTAATGAGATATAGAGAAAGTTATCAATACGAAGTTGTTCAAACTTCCTGAAGAAACTTTACTAGCAGCCAATCACAATGATCCTCATTCGTTCGTATCATTTCACGGAAAACAAGAAAAAAAAGAAGCGAAGATATTTTTTCTCCTTTCTCTTATTCTTTTGCATTCTTTGAGAATCCATTTATTTTACTTTACTTTCTCGCAAACGAAGAAGAACAAAAATCCTCACGTAGTCTCCCTTTCTCTCTCTCCGTCTCTTTAAATGATCATACGTCACTCCTATATCGACATTAGTCTTTTGTTCCTTTGTTTATATTTCAAGAAAAAAAAATGAGAATGGCTAAGCGCAAAAAGTAATAATGATAAAAGAAAATTGAAAAGAGTTTGCGCATGAGCACTCGTACATGAAATAAACCATGATGACGCACGAAGAGCATATATTTATAGATGAATAGAGATCACTTTCTATCAGGTTCTTTTCATTTATTTTTATCAAGGATGGATTCATACACATAACGTTTAAGGAAATATGTCCATAAAGACTTCGAATAGTTAATTAACACGCCATTGATATTAGCTAGATGAAATGAATTTTTGCAAAACAAAATTTACAATGCCGATTTCCCAAGACACTTTTTTGTGTTATAACACAACATTATTATCCAGTAGCGGCAGCTGGTAAAGTAATCAATGAAAAATAATGATATTGATTAAAACACATACAGAGAAATGCAACGTTAAAATTATGTCTGAAAAAATAAATGACGATGAAATATGAGTCGAGAAAAAATGATTTGAGATTGAATGTTTTTGTCATTCTACTAGAAAAGATACCACTGTGTATCATTTTGTGCTTAGCGTTTTAATATCTAATGAATAATGAAAAGAAATCCTTACTTTATCTTGCTTGATGCCCTATTTTAGACTAGGTTTATTCCATAGAGTATTGAAAAAGAGCCGATAATCACCATAGTATTTCTCCAATCTTTGCTATTACATTGATGGAATCTTAGCATATGTGTACTTCAAGCTGATCGGTGATTGCAGGGATACGATTAATAACTATTCTTATTATCGTTTCAAACCAGTGGGTGTAACCTTGAGTAACGAGATTTAAGAGATAAACTAACAAATCATATTGATCTTGCAAAAACGATACTGATGAAGATAAAGCGAATCGCAATGGAATGTTGACGTAAATATGAGAAAGAAAAATAAAAGACCGAATGACAAGATATTAAGATAATTGATTATTCTTATGTAGGAGAGCATAAAGTATTGGAGTCTTTCTTTTACCTTTCTTTTTCATTTGTTTTCTTATCATGAGAATCTCTTCGTGATATATATATATAGACGCAGGATAATTCCCTTTATGCGTGTGTATTCTGATTAGTATAGTAAAAATGTTTTTCTTCATATAGAGATTAATTTTAAATAAAATCGTCTGACAAATCAAAATTAAACATCGATCATATAGAATCTATTTTCAGGCAATGATAATCATCTCGGAAGAGAAGAAAAAAATAGTAATGGAAACAAAACTGAGAGAAATTTTGACTATATATTTATCCAGTCTTGATTAAAAGTGTTTTTGAACATCGATTACCATCATCGGGAAAAAAAGAATAAATTTATGCGGCAAAAGTTGAATTTATTATTTATAGAATGAAAGAAAAAATTCATACCGGAAATTACGCTTAGTCACTTACTTGATAAAGCCAACTAGAAAATCAATTAGAAGAAATAACTAAGTAGACTATGTTATAACCAAGGGAGAAGCGGTGGACTTTTGAACCTCAAGTTACTTGAGGTTACTGTAAGCTACTTGTCCGTACTTTGAGCTACTTCAAGTAGTCTACTTTGAAGTGCTTTGACGTACTTTTCTATTTCAAGTCCACCGTTTCCCCCTTGGTTATAACAGAGAAAAACCAAAGTGCAGCCATCATCTCTTAAAAAACCCAGTACTATTCATATTATATATTTATATTGCTGTCAAAAGCCAAATGACATCGTTTATCTTAACTATATTTTCCAAAGCATTGATAATAAATCTAAATTATATATATATATATATATATATTCCTTTTTTTTTATCTATCTTTCAAATCCAAGAGATGATTGAGTCATAGGCTACTTGTAGCGTAGTCTGATTACTATTATATGATGTTCCAGATCGAAATTAGTCTGGATTAAATCTCATCTACCAATTATGGTAAAATATGACTTAGCAAGATTTTGAATTTAATTGGATGTTGTTGTTTTTTTCCCATTTCATCATTTATTAAGATTAGATAGAGGAATTATCTTGATTTTATTTATTGAATGATCATTATGAAGTTGTATGTGTACAGAAAAAAAAGAGTTTCACTAGTACTCAGAAAAATTTGTTTTGCTTTTCATGTTTGAGAAACGATTTTTGTTCGTTTAGCATCCTGATTCTGTTGAGATATGTTTATTAGACGATTAGATTGACCGTGTATTCTGTAAGCATTCATCAAAATTTGATTTTACATCATTTAAGTCCTAGAAGAAATTAATTATTAACATTATTGGTAATAAAGAGTAAATATCTTAATACCACTAGTGGCTTTTCAATAGCTTGTATTAATAATCGATGAATTTCTTCGAGATTTTTTTCAACTAATTCTGGAACTAGTTTACAGCATGCTCGAATACCTTGTGGATCTCTTTGGGAAAAAAAACAGGTAGAAATAAAATTATAACAATGCAAAAAGTTTACTTCAGTAATAATTCAGCCAAATGAATCAGCAATAAATCTGGCAACACATAGCTTAAAATAAAAAGAATTTTACTTATTTTTGTTTTTTGAACGAATTATTAATATTATATACACATGCCTTGTTGATTCGTCTTCTTCTCGAGCTATTTTATCTCGCCAAGCATAAAGTAATTTAAGTGCAGCTAGTTGACTACCATTGAAATTTGTTTTACGAGTTTTTAAGTACAAAGTTTTATATGCATTTTCATCGAAGATTGGCTTTTTGTAGGACTAAGAAATGCAAAACATACATTATAATAATTATAATCTGTTGTTTTAAACGAGCGAACACGATAGTAGAGCAACTTTCCCACATGCACGTCTACCAGCAAGCGGCTGAAATCTTCTTAAAAAACGATATGAATTATGCGCCGTATATTCTAAAATATGTTTTTGTTTTTGTGATTAGTATTCAATCTAATCCAATCCATTCTTTTGAAAATAGGAAAGTGTACCGAAAGGTCGATGTACTCCGTTTTTTTTTTGTATTAAAATATTTGCTAGCGAAGAAGAATAAAATTATTAGCCACACCTGGAGTGAATAATAGATTCTCTTAAAACAGCAAATGAATTAAATTAATTTAAGTATCAAAGTATAAAAATCAATATCTGACAGAAGAAAAATATTTCTTTACTCTTAGACAAATAATTTTTGATTTTGAATAAACTGATCGAAGAAATTCAGTATTATTCTTGTTCGATTCAATTAACTGATTTCGTAAACGATCATAAATATATAATAGATAGTGTGTATCCTCTTGTGCATAACGGCAATATTCTTTTGGTAAAGGTCTAAATAAAATAAAAAAATCTTTTGATTATTAAATAGAATTAAATTATCTGTCGAACCTTAATCTCCAATCAGCCAATTGATATTGTTTACTAGCATCAATATTACAATACGTTTTCAAAAGATAAGCAAGTGATAATGTTGGTAGATTAAGTTCTTTGCCTGCTTGATGTGTATCAAACATGTTGACAATGTAAATACCGAAATCTTTTTGTAACCATTCTACATCCCAATCTGCACCATGAAATACCTTAGGAATTTCAATGTATTCATTTAATAAATCAAATGAAAAAAAATTACTTTAAGAACTTTTGGATTAGTAAAAATATTATTTAGAATAGATAATTCATCGCGAAGTGCAAGTGTATCAATTAAAAAGTCTTCTGTACGAGATGATATTTGCATCAAACATGTAAAACCTTGATAGGACCGATAGGAATGGTGCTAGAATAACAAATAGATATCATCGTATCTCGGAGGGAAAATGACTGTAGTATACTTCTAAATCGATTGCTAATTCTGATTGCATTTCAATATGATCCATCATTGTTTTTAATGTGTCGGTCGTATCAACAAATAGACATTTTGTTTGTTCGATAGCTTTTGGAAACTTAAAAAAACTCGATTCAAGTAATATACTTCATATACTTTATACATACGTGGAGATCGCCTAACTTCAATACGGTTTCATCGGGTTCAAATGATGTTATTTCATTGGCATACGGATGATCTAATCTGAGATTAAAAGAAAAAGAAAAATTTCGCTGTCTCTTGAAAAATTCAATACTGACATTTCTGGATATTTTTCTAGTAAATCAAGGCCAATAGGTTCGAAATTCATTTGTGTCATGAACACTAATATTTTTCAGGTTTACAATAGAAAAACAAAAAAAAAAGAGCGAACTGACTTGGTAATGGTATTTGCGCATGGGGTTTATTACGAATTTTTGGAATAAATGGTATTTGTGTACTATTATCAATTTTATGTTTAAATTTCAATTGTGGTTTGATGACAACTTGTCGCTAAAATATTTTCAATTGTTTCGTTTTTTTCTTTCATTTTTTCTATTTCAATTTTACTTACCACAACTGTTGATACAGAAGATTGCTTTAGTCCATCAGCGTCATCAAGTGCAGATGCCTGAGAATAAATCGATGTAAGAGTAAAAAGCAATATACATAGATTTATTTTCGTACAATTCTTTCAAATAATGTATCATTGATATCAACCAGTTGTTCAAGTTTTTCGTCGGAATCTAGTTGATCCCAATCAGATGATTGAATATGAGATTTCATTTGATAGATTCTAAAGAAAATAATCGTTCATTCTTCGCAAATAATTTAATAAATTTGAAAATACCTATGTAAAATCCGTGCACTTAATTGATTGATTCTATCATGACAAAATTCTATGGTCATTATTCGATCAAAATTTTCCATGCCTAATCGATTTGATGTTCGAATAACATCCACAACTTTCGTACATATTGCCTAAATAGAAAAAGATATTCTTTTGATAGTAAAATCTTTTTTTTTCTAGAAATTCAATTTACTTGTTTATATTCATCAACATCATTGAATAAATCCAAAAACTTTGTTGAATTTGTTGAAGACATCTATTACATACTGAAACATAGAATAGATGTTACTAATGTTTCTTTTCTTTTTCTTTCTTTGGTAAACCCTTGATCATTCTGTTTCTTATCTATGCGCATCGATTTAATCGTATACAGGTTCATTTAAATGTTTAAATAGGATTTTTAAGATAACCAGGAAAAAGATTTATAGACAAAGTAGTACTTGTTGGATGAAATGATATGGAAATAGAAAACAATCCAATGAAGTCATATTCTCTTTCGCATCTTCTATACATCGGAAATATCTTTAGTTTTAGCAACGAATACAATTATGTTAGTTCTTTTTGATTTTCCGCAAAACTCCTTATTTTCAGATAATCATTTCAAAACATGTCTTTGGATATGTGACATTCAATAAATGAGCAATTAGATGAGACGTATCGGTCTTTAAGATAGGCCGTACTTATAAAAGAGATAACACATACATCAATCGGTCAATAATCTCGAAGCCGAAATCCATCTTTATTAATTCATACATTGAAAAATCTGTGCCATAAACATATTTCAATTTATGCGATAGGATACTTGACGATAATACAATTCCTTCTCACCTGCTGTTCGATTATAAACAAATAAATTTAAATTAGCTCATACAAATAAAAATATGCAATATATAAAAGAAACAGATGCATTTCAAAAATCGAAATTGCGCATCCGTTATAGCTATGAATGTGTGTGTTCACAACGGGTGGCCGACAAACATTCTTTAAACACACTTCATGTCTATTCGACGGAAAAAAATCGGTCAAATTTTGACGTAAGAGATGTTAAACTTGATAATTGCTGCTTCTCATTTTCTTCCGATAGCTAAATGATTATCGCTGTTGGAGTTAAATGAACATTTCGTTTCTTAAGATACTCGTTTTCTTTCTCATCGACGAAAAGATAAATTTTATCTTTGCGAAAAACAAAAATATAGCTACTTGAAAATAATCGATATTCAAAATATGTTTGATTTCAATTGAAGTATAAATATGTTCAATTTTCTCATTAGAATTTCTCTAAGAATCAAAATTATGCTTCTGTCCATGTTTGATGTCGAAAAAAAATTGAAATTCATCTATTTTTGTTTTGCTTTTTTTCTCCATGTGTGCGTGTGTATGTTTTGAAAATTAACGAACCGAGCTAAATCTCATCGGATTGTCTTACGCATACGAGTGCTCATTTATCAATGTTAAGAAACACATGTTAGTGCTTTTTTTCTTCTAAATTTCGCAATGACGCCATTGCTTATTAGCTCTTATCAAATAATCATTTCCACATACTGTGGTAGTAAAAAAGAAAACGATATTTTTTTCTCTCTCAATATACATTAGCATGTCAACGTCAAATCACGTCATCAAAACACGCACGCTAGGTGAGAATTGATCCCAAGTTAATGGTCTAATTGATCGATCAGCGCATCTTTCACACAATCTTTTTCTGTTTTGAAAAATGGTTCCACAACATTTAATACTTTGTTGCGATTCACTAAGCTCTTCCTCTGAGACACCGGCAACAGCGTTAATCTTTTATCGTCTAACAATTTTTAGATTTGAATGAACAAACAAGCAATAAGAAATTTAATAGAAATATAGCTTTCAACATACTCATTCGCAGTTCCCTTCTTATACGATAAGATGTGTTATCACACCTTGTTTCGCGTGAGAAAATTATGCTAAATATGTTTATATGCAACACGCAACAGTGAATTCGTCGAATGAAAACTGTCATTATTAGTTTATGAAGCTAACGGCAGAAGCAATAAACTGTAAATGAATTCAATTCGACATAGAAAACAGTAGTAACAGTAAATTGAAGATTTCAGATGAGACGCTTTCTTCTCAATCTGTTCCAGAGAAAAATACGTTGATCATACTGAAAATAATTTTGAAGCTAAATTATTTAATGAACTCTTACTTCTATCAATTGAATGATTTGCTACTGTTTCTAGCCTATACGAATAAGAGCCTCTTGAATCTGTTTGATACACTTGTAATATATTCGAAGTGTATAGATAAAAAGTCAATCTTTGTTTTTGATATCGATATAAGAATGCATCATGATAATTTTTACTTTGTTATTTAGAAAATTTAATTTATTTTCTTAACTAATCTTCTGCCGCTCTCTCTCTCTCTCTCGCTCTTCGCACATGCTGTTCTCGACCTTATTATTGGACTCTAGACACGCGTTCAGCTTCGTGTGTCATCGACAAGTACTAATTATAATTTCAATATCGGCTTTTCTTATCTTTCTTCCTCTCTTTTTCGTAATATACAATTCAGTCCAATCGTATTCATAGTTGGGGAAAAACAATTTTTTCTCTCTTTTCTTTTCAATGATTGCAATCAGCTGAGTTTGTTTCCTTCATAACTTCGGAACGAAACGAACTACATAACGATGGAAAAACAACAACTTGAAACAATGCTTTTTATTGAAAAATCTTATCACTCGAAAATCTCTATCAAATCTCATTCTAAACGACGCGTTATTGCTGATTGTTTAAATAAAGTTCGTAGGGTTTCATTAGGTTTTGAATAAAATTATTTTCATTTCATTAGTTAACTGATGATGAACATGTATTCGATGATATATTTGCTTTAACAATGAATATATTCGATCGTTTCATTTCAAAAACTTCTTCGGCTATATCAAATGATCGTTATTATCAATTAATAGCTTTATCTTGTTATAATATAGCTAAGAAATTACGCTCAAATGTATCAATCAATAATGAAAATGAAAAAACATCATTAATATTTTCAACTGAAAACTACAGTGACGAAGAAATATTTGTAATTTTCAGGAGAAAATAAAAAAAATCAACTTTTTCATTCTTTTTCTCTCATTTTAGAATGCTGAACAAATAATTTCTAACACACTCGATTGGGATTTAGCTTATTTTGTACCACATGACTATATACAATTATTATTAAAATATTTTTTACCATTAGAAAATCGAGCTCAAATATGTTTACATGTTCATATACTTCTATCCATAGCAATATGTGGTAAAGACAAACTTATTCTTTTTGTTCGGTATAATTACGTAATAAATGTTTTTTTTTTCTTTCTTCTATTAGAATTAAATACATTAGCAATACTTCCAAGTCTTCTCGCATGTGCATGCTTAAAAGCAGCTATAAAGGGTCTTTCATTACAAAATAATTATCAAATAGACGAATTAATATTAAAAACTATGAATTGTAATCTAATCGAACTTAATCATACACAATATACGATTGAGCAATTATTTCAATCATGTTTACAAAATATAAAACCATCACCAAGACGTCGTTGTTTAGCACCGATCGATACAAGTTCGCAACAATGTACAAAAGTCAAATAGAAAAACACAACGCGAAATTTATTATAATTTTTTAAAATATTTTTTTGTTTTGTTGAGAGGAAATAAATGAACCTTTTCTAAAGGAAAAAAATCGTTCTTCCGTATCAATGAGAAATGAACATTGATTTCATCATGCCTATATATATATATATATATATATATTTCTGCGATTATTGACACGTCATCTTGTGTATTCGATTGCATACGAAAGATGAATAATACATATTATATAATTGTTCAAGGGATAAAGATGATTTCATGTTGAGAGGCTACTTTGAATAGCACTTGTTGTTGTCAAGAGTTTCTTTTCTTTTCTTTTTCTCGTCCGTTGTGTCAAACATGACAAATAGCTTTATACTTTCGATCGATCAATAACTGCTATTTTCGAATATCCTGTAGTGTGAGATGAACAAGTGAAATCATTCATTAGAAGAGAATGAACACGCTGTGTGGTGGAAGGAATCGTTCAAAAGAACATTTCATAACTACTTTGAAATAAATGAGACGAAGAAAAATAGTTGATGATATTCAAATGGTGTTTATTCTCTGCATTGATAAAGCGATTTTTCAAACCAATTGTTATACATACAAGAATAGATAAATAACGGAGAAACATATTTGCGTGACAGTCGAAAATAAATTACTTCTCATAAACACGTATTGTTTGCGATGGGACTGGAAGCATCTTGTCTAGAACGGATAGTTTAAAATGGTATGGTTAGCATTATCCCATTTTTTTATCATTCGCTGTAAAATATTTTCTTTTAATTATTCGAAAACTGAACCGTGGATAAATTTGAAAAGCGAAATTCTATTCTGATCTTTGATTTGCAAGTGCATCAAATTATCAACGATATTAGATTTATGAGTTTATCCTATTCTCTCATTTATTGACTATCAGCTCGGAAATAAATCATATTTCAAACGTACAAAGTTGCCTATCGCACAAGAGCTGATTGTTCAATGAAAAATTGCTCTCTTCAGAAGAAAAAATGATACGATTACTTTAGCAAATGGGATGCTATCCACGTGTTACTTAGCTTTCTACGAATTTGATTGTTGATACCGAACAATAATTGATTGCATAATGAACTTAGCGTGTACTTTACGAAACTGCGATGAGTTTACAAAAAAAATGAATATTAACGTGTTAACACATAAGATTTACATGCGCATTTATTACAGTTGATTATAATATTGTTTTCTTGTACGAAACAAATTTTCTGAGATTCTTAAATAATTCAGAGAAAATGATTTTCATAAAATCTATTTATTAGACTTTTCAAATTTTTAACATTTGTTGCACCAAAATTCTCATTCAAAATGTTTATAGATCTAACAAATTTTATTGATATTTCTGATTCTTCGCATAATTTCATGTCTACATTACTAGCTTCGAAACAATACTCAGAAATATTTCCTATTCAACGCTTCAGTTTTACGCAATATTTTCGATCATATTATTATTCATTTTTTACCAGTCGAAAAACATAACTAATATATACTATGGTAACTCAACAAAAAATAGCAGCAATACGTGAGAAAAATAACGTAAGACAAGGATATTTACATTACATATACAATTTTCATCAACAGTACGAGTTAAACATCTACTATGATATTGCATTGATTTATAATTTAATTCAAAAATGCGCCATAGGATGATATATCTGATTTTATTGAATATGACTCTCAATTTCTATTTGATTAACCGAAAGTATAGTTAACACGTTCTTAAGAATGTCTATCACTATTAGAGTAATATTCAAGAAATTGCAGATAGAATTTCTTTTCCTTTCTAACTCAAACTAAATCTCTTGCCAAATAACCATTATGTTGCTTATCTATGGTGGAAATACAAAGATAGAAACAAAATAAAATGAAAAAATCATTTCTTTTCTTAAAGCTGTTTACGTATGACTCTTCATTATTATAATACAAATCAGAAGATAAGCACGAAAAAACAAAATGAACAAACAATCAAACATATACATCATAGAGTTGTATGGCAGAAAGAATATAGAGTTAGATTATATATGCATGATCGGACTTTTCTTACTTATTAACAATCAAATCCCTATTGATATTCTTAGAGAAAACAATAGATATTGACAAAAGAACCAAAAAAAAGTTTTAATGTTCAATATCTCGGTCGTTTTCTATCAAATCCTTGTTGCGGTTGTTTAACAAAGTCAACATCACGCGCATGTGCTTCTAATCCATAACTACGTGCTACTTGATTTGTTGTATAAGCAGCATCAATATTTGCTGCGATTGGTGATGCTTGTTGAATCATTGGACTTGCATTCGAATATGGAATATGTTGAAAATCGTTATATTGCAATGCACGTGCTGCAACTTGATTTTGATGAAATACATTACTTATAAGACCAGAAGCTGGATTGAATGGATGATTGTAGGCGTCAGGATGATGCATTGGCATCACAGTACGACGACGATCTATTTCCTGTGATCGTAATTCGTCTATTCGACGAAGATCTTCTTGGCGACGTAACAATTCTAGAAACAACACAAGACACTTACCATCTCTTTTTTCTTAGCTGAATTCTATTTTCAATAGATATCGAAAGATAAGTTAAACAAACGATGTAGATCATATGATCGCTTTACTAATGATAATAGAATTATGAACTCGGTCCCAAAACATTGTATATGTTACTCTCACAAAAATTATAAATAAATATGTATGTATGTATGTGCAAAATCATTTTCTGGTGACGTACTATTCATAAAATAAATAACTATGTGTTAAAATTATCTTTAATTACTCGATCTACCCTAGTAAATCAGTGCTAGAGAGTGATTAGTAAAAGATTCACGTACGAGACATGACACAGTATGAATATACGAACGAAAAAAAAAATTCTTTATGATCAAAAACAAGAAATTACAAAATCTAGATTATCTCGTTAAAAGTCGATCTCTAGGACATCACTTTTAACGAGAATATCTTGTTTCTGTAATTCAACTTTTTTGAAAATTTCAACAGAACACAGTTGATGTCGTATATTTCATGCTGAAATTTTGTTTCGTATCATTCAATAGATATTTCCCAATCACTTTTTAATTAAAAGTCAACTTTGTCCAGAATCAAAGTCAAACGAATCGTAGGTATATTTTTTTATGACTCACAGATAATCTTTAATTTCTAATTTATTTCTTGCTCATTATTCATGGATATGGTGCGTATATTTCTTTAATATTATTAAATGAAAAACTTTCCTCTTATTGAAGATAATTCGAACTAGAAATTCTTATCTTCTGGAAATTCATGATTCAAACAACAAAACAATACTGAAAGTGAAAAACCATAAATACAGACAATTTCTACTGATGTATTCATTCAATTGTAGTTCAGTGAACAAAATGTTCGATGAACTATTTACTTTATATATTCGCACTCGATCCTACCTTCACGCAATAATTGTGATTGATGTTCTAAGTACATTTGATCGATTTCAATTTTTACTTGTTCCGTAGCAAATTGCATACGTCTTTTAACTTCTTCTAGTAATTGTTTTTCTTGTAACTCTAATTCTTTCCATTTAAGACCAATCGTATGTTCAATTGTATTTAATTCAGCAAAACGTGGTTTTACATCTCGTTCTCTAAATTTTAAAATGAATTAATTTTAGTTTATATCTTAATAAACCTTAAAATCAAAATAATTCAGCTTACTTTACATATGCCTGATTACGAGGTAAGGTTTTTTCCGGTAAACCATCTTCGTCATCTTTGATATCCCACGGTTCGACAACCACGGGTCTTAGTTCACTTGAAATAGAAATGAACATTCATTTTTTATTTATATCTTAACAAAAAAGTCTACAACTAATATCTTAGTAATAACTTTCAAAATGAAAGGATCGTATGTTCTATTACAGATTCTCTACCTAAGAGAAAACTATTCTTCTAGTTATATGATATCGAGATGATATAAGAAAGAAATCGTTCTTGTATGACGTATAAGCTAATATTGAATCTCTTTTGCGATACGGTTTTGACTCATCAGCACACAGAGAGGATACACGTATCTAGGGTATATTTACATGTTACAGCGATGATGAGTCATAAATTAATCAGAACCTTAATAAATTTTGAGACTGTTGAATGATTATTCAGAATGCAAAATAATGTTCTTTGTACCTTGCTTAGAATAGGATACAAAAAACTGTTGTCTTTATGTTCATTTTCTGTTTGGATCATACCTATAGGATTATTCACACTCGTTCTTCCATATAATTCAGTTTAATGTATGATAAAAAAAAATCTTTCTTTAATTCAAAACTCAGCATCTCGTGGTAATATTGTTTATTCAAATGACTGATTTTAATCAAATAGTCTATTCAGGCCAGTTCAGAAAGTCTTCGTATTCAAGCTATTGTTTATCATTAGTAGTCCCAAAGTTCTGCACTCTGTAGTGATTAAAGTAACATGACGAAGATAAATTATTTCACAGTTAAAATAAAAAATCTCCTGTCATTTCCCTAATTATCCAATATAAATGAACCAAACATACATAGTCGAAGTTTTGTCTATTTATTTATTTTAATTAGAAATAGTTTTAAATCAATTTTTTTTGTATTCCTTCGATATAATCATGCAATGACGATTTTAGTCAAATTAAATGTATAACATTAGCGTAGACAGGCAAGGATTAACTTTCAAAGATATTAACACCTTTTACCTTGTAATAAAGAAACATCGTTCTGTACAATCGTTCAGACATTTTTGTGCAGATGGTTTTTTTTCAAATTCAATTATTCCTTCTCCAATTGACTTTCCTCGATCATCGACAATAACAACAGCACGTTCGACACTACCAAAATATTGTTCGAATCCTTCTTTCAGTAATTCGTTCGATACATTTGGTGATAAATTTTTAACTTTTACTGTTGCACCTTGACTTGCAAAACGAATACGAAGTGGTTTGCCACGTAAAATATAGCCATCAAGATCATATTTAACTTGTTCAGCCAGTTGACGTGAACTCTAGATTAATTAGAAAATTATTATGTGTTGTTATTAATAAAAAGACGAACATACAAGTTTAATAAAACCAAAGCCACGCGATGGATTAACAAAATATTCAACAAGTTCACCATATTTACCAAATAGTAATTGAAATTCTTCTTGCGTTAAATCGGATGGTATATTACCAATAAATAAACGACAACGACCGCCTTGTGTGATTTTTTTGTCGCTACTTTGTGATGGTGCGAATTCAAATATACTATTTTGCTGTTGAGAGGTGATTTCAAAGCGTGGCCTTTTTATTCCAGTACTACCATGGGGTTGTTGTTGTTGTTCATCGGAAAGTTTAATATCTGTATTTGTAGTTGGTTTGCTCACTGCAGAAATATTGAAGGATTCTAAGTTATGATAGGAAGTTTCCTCAGTAGATTTATTTTCTGTCGGTGGTATTTTGATTGATTTATTTGGGGAAGCAGTACTGAATGAAAAAAAGAAATAAATATTTTCAATAAGATAATTGTAAGAAATTACGTAGGATCAGTTGAACTCGTTGCTATTCGATTTTGAAGAGACGGTGAATTCGAAGTCGGAGGCGTTGATCTAAATGAATCGACTTTTATATTTTGAATCAATAATAGAAAATCATACATCGTTGTGTCATTGATAGGCTTTGCTGGATGAATCAGTCGCGTTTGTTGCTGAGATGTAGATCTAATATTTCAAAAAAAAGTTATTTTATTAGATTTTTTTGTAGATTTAGGTGTATTACGTTTGATCATTTAAACCATTTCGTGGGACATTTCGATTTGGTTGTGTATTGAATCTAATTCAGATAAAATTAGAGAATAAAAACATGAAAAAAGTAAAAATTTTACCTTGGTCCAGGACGTTCATTTATTAGAGGTCGCATATAACGAGGACCGCCAGGGTAATGAGCCATTGACTTGATATCTTCAAATAGAAACGCAATTGTTTTCTTAATCAGAACAAAGAAATTGGAACTGTGTGAATTTCTAGGGTGATGAGTGAGTGAAAATGTAAAACAGCTGTTTTAGTAGATTGATACCATTTTTATTTCTTTATTTGAGTTCCTTACTAGTGAGTTGATATTTCATTGAAATTTGAAAATTATATTTCTAAATATTTTCAACGTAATTTAGATAAATAAAATCAAAGGAGACAGTTGTGTACGTCATATCGAATGTAGGCGTTGTTCATCTCGATTGGATGTAAACAGACAAATCAAATAGAACATACGGTGTTCTCGCTTTTTTTGACGAAAATTATTGATACTGGCGTCTAAAAATTGATTTCAACTTCAAAAGATTTTATTTTTTTAATGAATAAATTATAATGGCTTGTATTAATTTGAGCAATAATAAAAACAAACATGATTTAGCGATAATTTTTGAGCAATAAAAAATGTATACTTTAGCAATATTATAATATGAAATGAGCAATATTATAATATGAAATGAGCAATATTATGATATTCAATGAGCAATATTTTGATATTAAATGAACAATAAATAATTTATTATATAACAATATTAATTTCATATTTGAGCAACAAAAAGAGATAGAAGTACATTATTTTTATTTATAATTGACAATATAACAAATAAATGTGGAAACTTCGGATTTCATCCGAGAGTTATGTGTACTGCAAAAAGTGCGTGGGACATGATTCATTCTAGAATGTCTGAACATCAAAATTATCGTGAGAAACTAGGCAATTTGATTTCTGGATGCAGTTTTTGTGCATTTTGAGACGCTTTTCAGGCGATGTTTCGTTAGAAAGCTATGATTTAGTTCAAAAATAATATCAGATTCAGAATCAGCGTTAAAAACTGAGTCGATTTATAGATGTTGTGAATAGCTCCGAGAAAAATTTGTTTTTTTGAAAAAAAACCCTGTACCCCTCCTCAAGAATGGTCTGGTCAAAAATGACAATTTTTTCGATAACTCAACCATTTCTTGAGAGATCCTTCTCATCTTCGAATTTGACCGAGGTATTCATGACATTCAACTATGTGGAAAATTTCATCACGATCTGACTCTCCTTTCGAAAGTTATCCTGCCTACGGACGGACCACTGACCGATTCTAGAGTGTACTCACTTTTTGAGTACACAAAAAGTAGTGTGCTATGAGTTCTGCTTGAGTCATGTATAAAAGTTATATATAAATTTCATGAGGATAAGAAAACTTTTATTGTTGTAAAAAAAACGAGTTATTATTGCCCTTTTATATACATTTTACGCTTCATTTTAATTAATTATTGCTCATTCTATATTTTTTATTGCTCAATTAAATATAAGTCAATTATAATTGATAGTGCTACTTAAATGAGTTTGCAAACTAATAAGAGTAGAATGATAAAATCTGGAGACAACGCGAAGGGTGACAATTGCATTTTTTTAAAATCTCTGTCGTCTGTTTTGAATCTCTATCTAAATCGAGTGTTAATTCCATGGAAATGAAAGTGAACAACAATAAGTAAATGCACATTAAACACAGCGTGGCATGAATTGAGTTTGAGACTTTTTCTCTTGATCTAAACCAATATTCAGCATTCGATTAGTGCAGATGCAGAAGTCGATGTTCTATGCGCTGCTGGTATTTTGTTGACTTCAGCTGCGAGTAGAAGAGCGTCAACTAGATAGTCATAGAGAAGAATACAAAAGTATGAGTTTACTAAACACAAGATGTACTTCATTAAACACATAAGTGATATTTGCTTATTAATTAAAAAACAATAATTTAATAGAAAAGAATAAAGCGTCGTTCGAATTTTCTGACCGAGTTGGTAGTATTACACTATGTTTGCTGATGTTAGAAGAATTGGTTTGGGTTGCCTGATTTCCAATTTCTGAAAGAACTGGATATTGTTCAAGGCTGTTACTATGAAAGTGTCCGGTTCCTTTCTAGTTTTGAGTTAAATTTTGAGAAAATCATATTCTGTCTATGTCAACAAGAATATTATACTTTCAATGTACGTCAATTCCCCTTTTGAATAAAACGAAGTTTTTTTTTCTTCCCTTTTTTACGTTACGATTACAATGTAAATCGCTTATGCTTCAGCATCTGTTCCTAGTTGCGCTAATCTAATCGTTGAAAACACTAAAGAAATGAAAGCCATTTCTTTTATGTGCACTATAACAATTGCGTCGCTTACACAACGCTACAACAGCAAGTACTACGTCAAATAAAAATGGAAG